TTAGGTCTTCTGCCCATTTTTGATTGTTTTTAAAGAGGTCTGTTTTCAACCTAATTCAACATACACCTAGGAGCTTACTGCAATTCTGCCTGAGCCTGGGGAGGCTAGATACACCATTTACACATTTCCCCTCTTGTATCTCTCTGAAAGGAGCTTATACATGTATCTAAAACCATGGCCTTTGTGACTGCCACCCAGAGGACACATTCCTTGATCTGGTGGCCAGCAGGACTTGCATTTGTGGGTCCCACTGGTCTGCAGTGAACAAAGAAGCTGTTATTAACTGACTATCCTTTAGGGCTCAGTGCAGAGAAAGCAGACAGAAACACTAGCTCCCATTCTTTTCCCCGAAAGAGGTCTGCTTGTGTGTTTTAAAAGCCACTGCCTGAGAGTCCAGCTTCATTGTACATCTAGGTACTAATTGAGATCTTCCCTTTGTTGTCATTGTTTTTCGGTCGCTAAGTTGTATCTAACTCTTTGAGACCCCTTGGACTGCAGCATACTAGGCTTCCCTGTCCTTCACTATCTCCCAGAGTTTACTCAAACTCATGTCCATTGAGGCAGTGATGCCATCCAACCATCTCATCCTGTCAGCCCCTTCTCCTCCTGCCCTCAGGCTTTCCTAGCATCAGGGTCTTTTCCAATGAGTCAGTTCTTTGCATCACGTGGCCAAAGTACTAGATCTTCAGCTTCAGCATCAGTCCTTCCAATGAATAGTCAGGGTTGATTTCCTTTAGGATGGACTGGTTTGATCTCCCTGTGGTCTCAGGGACTCTCAGGAGTCTTTGCCAGCACCACAATTCAAAAACATCAATTCTTCGGCACTTAGCCTTTCTTATGGTCCAACTTTCACATCCATACATGACTACTGGAAAAACCATGGCTTTGACTATATGGACCTCTGTCAGCAAAATGATGTCTCTACTTTTTAATATGCTGTCTAGATTTGTCATAGCATCCAAGGAGCTATCGTCTTTTAATTTCATAGCAGTCACCGTTCCCAATGATTTTGGAGCCCAAGAAAACAAAATCTCCTCCCCTTTAGGACACTAGCAAATCATGACACATCCTTACTACTGGGAGCCAATAAGCACAAAAAAGGTAATTTGAGAAACCACCAAGAACTAAGCCTGGGTGGAAGGATGAGATTTCTTCTACAAGAGGCTATTTTGTGAAGACTGGGATAATATGGCTGTTTTATCTAATCCACAGAAACCAACACAGATAATCAAAGATGAAGAAAGAAAGGAGCGTGTTCCATACAAAAGAATAAGATAAAACTCTAGAAACAAACCTTAGTGAAATGGAGATAAGTGATTTACCTGTAAAGAGTTCAAAGTAGCACTTCCCCGGTGGTCCACTGGTTAAGAATCCTCTTGCCAAAGCAGAGCATGTGGGTTCTTCCTGGTCCGGGAAGATTCCACATGCTGTAAGGCAACTGAGCCCATACGTCACAACTACTGAGCCCACACTCTAGAGCCTGTGTGATCCAGCAAGAGAAGCCACTGCAATGAGAGGTCTGATAACCACCACTAGACAGTAGCCCCCACTCTCTGCAACAAGACAAAGCCCGCAGGCAGTAAAGAAGACCCAGTGCAGCCAAAAATAAATAAATAAAGTTGTTTTTTAAAAAAGAGTTCAAACTAAGAGTCATAAAGATGCTCACTGATGCTCCCTGAGAACAATACATGAATAAAGTGAGAATTCCCACAGAGAGAGAAAGCTTAAGAAGAATACAATAACTGAAAAATTCAGAAAAGGAGTTCACCAGCCGACTGGATGTAGTGGAAGAATTACTGAGATCAAAGACAGAGCAGTGGAATTCATCCAATCAGAGGAGCAATAAAGAAAAAAAGAAAAGAGTGAAGACAGTTTAAGGGACTTAAGAGATACCATCAAACTAAACTAATAATCACATTATAGAGGTCCCAAAAGACGAAGAGAAAGAGAAAGGACACAATATTTATTCAAAGAGATAATGGCTGAAAAATCCCTTCATCTGGGGAAAAGCAACAGACATCCAGGTCCAAGAAGTCCAGAGACTTCCAGATAAGATGAACGTAAAGAGACCTCCTGAGACATGTTATAGATACACTGTCAGAAACTAAAGACAAGGAGAAAATCTTAAAGGCAGCAAGAAGAAAAAACAACTTGTTTTATACAGAGGACCCTCTGTAGTACTATCAGCAGATTTTTCAGCAGAGACTTTGTAGGCCAGAAAGGAATGGCATTATATATTTGAAAAGCTAAAAGAAAAAAAAAAACCAAACAGCTAACCAAGAACACCTGGCAAACTGTCCTTCAGCAATTTTTTGAAAACTACTTATTTATTTTATTTATTTGGCTGTGTTGGGTCTCAGTTGCAGCATGCAGGATCTTTTTCATTGCAGTGCACGGACTCTCTGGTTGTGGTGGTGGGCTCACTAGTTGTGCTACGTGGACTCCAGAGTGCACTGGCTTCAGTGGTGGGGCTAGCAGGCTTTGTTGCTCTGAGGCACGTGGGATCTGCCCAAACCAGAGATCAAACCTGTGTCCCCTGTATTGGCTGGTGGATTCTTAACCACTGGACCGCCAGGGAAGTTCCTAATCAGTTTTAAAGACACACACAGACTAAAAGTAAAGGGATGGAAAAAGATACTGCATGCTCATGGAAACCAAAAAAAGTAGAGATATCTATACTTACATCAAACAAAATAGACTTTAGCCAAAGACTGTCATAAGAGGTAAAAAGGGTCAATGAAAAAAAGAGTCACCCAATAGAGCATATGACATGTGTGAATATTTATGCACCTGACATAGGAGCACCTAAAGAAATTAAGCAAATAAGCAAATGCTAACAGACCTGAAGGGAGAAATAACAATGCAGTAACACAAAGGGAATTCAGTATGCCAGTTTCAACAAGGGATAGATCATCTAGACATAAAATCAATAAGGAAACATCTAAACTACGTGTTAGACTAGGTGGACCTAACAGACATTTATAGAACATTCCATCTAACAGCAGTGAATATACAGTCTTCTCAAGCTCACTTGGAACATTCTTCAGGATATTTCTGATCACAGTGGTATGAAACCAGAAATCAGCTACAAGAAGAAAACTGGGAAGTTCAAAATTATGTGATAATAAAACAGCATTTGCACGTTTTGTATCTCTATGTCACGTTTTGGTAATGCTCACAATATTTCAAATGTTTTCACTATTATTATAGTTGTTTTGGTGATCTTTAATCAGTGATCTTTGATGTTACTACTACAATTCACTGAAGGCTCAGATGATGGTTAGCTTTTTTTAGCAAGAGAGTATGTTTTAGTTAAGGTATACACATTGTATTTGTTATAGATACACTGTCAGAAACTAAAGACAAGGAGAAAATCTTAAAGGCAGCAAGAAGAAAAAACAACTTGTTTTATACAGAGGACCCTCTGTAGTACTATCAGCAGATTTTTCAGCAGAGACTTTGTAGGCCAGAAAGGAATGGCATTATATATTTGAAAAGCTAAAAGAAAAAAAAAAACCAAACAGCTAACCAAGAACACCTGGCAAACTGTCCTTCAGCAATTTTTTGAAAACTACTTATTTATTTTATTTATTTGGCTGTGTTGGGTCTCAGTTGCAGCATGCAGGATCTTTTTCATTGCAGTGCACGGACTCTCTGGTTGTGGTGGTGGGCTCACTAGTTGTGCTACGTGGACTCCAGAGTGCACTGGCTTCAGTGGTGGGGCTAGCAGGCTTTGTTGCTCTGAGGCACGTGGGATCTGCCCAAACCAGAGATCAAACCTGTGTCCCCTGTATTGGCTGGTGGATTCTTAACCACTGGACCGCCAGGGAAGTTCCTAATCAGTTTTAAAGACACACACAGACTAAAAGTAAAGGGATGGAAAAAGATACTGCATGCTCATGGAAACCAAAAAAAGTAGAGATATCTATACTTACATCAAACAAAATAGACTTTAGCCAAAGACTGTCATAAGAGGTAAAAAGGGTCAATGAAAAAAAGAGTCACCCAATAGAGCATATGACATGTGTGAATATTTATGCACCTGACATAGGAGCACCTAAAGAAATTAAGCAAATAAGCAAATGCTAACAGACCTGAAGGGAGAAATAACAATGCAGTAACACAAAGGGAATTCAGTATGCCAGTTTCAACAAGGGATAGATCATCTAGACATAAAATCAATAAGGAAACATCTAAACTACGTGTTAGACTAGGTGGACCTAACAGACATTTATAGAACATTCCATCTAACAGCAGTGAATATACAGTCTTCTCAAGCTCACTTGGAACATTCTTCAGGATATTTCTGATCACAGTGGTATGAAACCAGAAATCAGCTACAAGAAGAAAACTGGGAAGTTCAAAATTATGTGATAATAAAACAGCATTTGCACGTTTTGTATCTCTATGTCACGTTTTGGTAATGCTCACAATATTTCAAATGTTTTCACTATTATTATAGTTGTTTTGGTGATCTTTGATCAGTGATCTTTGATGTTACTACTACAATTCACTGAAGGCTCAGATGATGGTTAGCTTTTTTTAGCAAGAGAGTATGTTTTAGTTAAGGTATACACATTGTATTCTTGGGGATAATGCTGTTGCACACTTAACAGGCTACACTGTACCATAAACGTGATTTTACATGCACCAGGAAACCATAAAGAAGAAAAAAATGGCTGGTATGCAAATAACCAGTCCTCAGTTGTACTAGCCTCACTTCAAATGCTTAATGCTAAATACAGCTAAGGACCACCCTATTGAACAGCACAGATAAGGAATATTTCCATCACCCAAGAATGTTCCTTTGGAAAACACTGCTCTAAGGACCTCTGCTCAAGATTGATAGTAAGACTTGCCTTTTGTGAAATTATACTTCCTGCATACTTTCCTGTTGGCCACTTTCCCTTGATTACATTTTGTTTTACTGTAAGATGAATACATTTTTTCTTTTTAAGGTGTGCATGTATCAACATCACTGCCTTTGTTTGCTTTCACAGTTGTTTTTTCCGCAATGATATTCCAGACTATTACAAATCAAGATCTGCCTGAGATCAAGTGTGTTTTAATCAACCATGGAAACAATGATTCATCAATGGGGACATCACCATCGAATCCCATGGTAAAGTAATAGTAAAATGACAATTTTAGATATTTTCTCTGGAGACCATACTTTGTAAGCTATTGAGACCTGCTATGGCTTATGAGCTTTTCTTTTTACATATTTAAGTAACTATACACTCATATGGGGTATTGATGAGCATCTCTCCTCATTGTTACCTGGGACTCCATCCCAACAAGAGTCACATTCTCTTTGGGCTTAGATTCTGGAAGGACAGTGATACTCAGAATGAATAAGAAACAAAGATTTCCTTTTCTCTTTAAAATAAAGCCAGGCTTCTCTCTGAAGCCCTGAATCTCTATTTCCAACTTCCTCCTGGGTTTACATAAATAGATTTTCTCCATTTGCTCATTAAGACCCACCTATATAATTTACTTCATTTCTATTTCCCCAAACATCTTGTTTTAATGGATTTCTGTTTACAGCCCCGTCTAGATCCTAAGCTTGAAAGCTCAGCCTCACTTTGGACTGCTTCCTTTCTCTGCCCTCACATTTGGTCAGTTACCAAGTCTTATCAATTTCCTTTCTTTCCTAGTTCTCATTTAACCACCTCATATTCTCCAGTCTCCCTGCCACTTCCCTAATTCCAGCCCTCATAGTCAGAATAATATTGTAAGTGGCTTCTTCCTTCTACAGTTCAGCTCAGATAGGGCTGCCAAACTTTTTAATTTTTTTGTTAATTTACTTTGGGCTGCACCGAGTCTCTGTTGCTTTACACGGGCTTTGTCTGGTTGCAGAGATCTGGGGCTACTCTAGATGCTGTGCCCAGGCTTCTCTTGCTGCCGAGCAGTCTCTAGGACGCGCAGGCTTCAGTAGTTGTGGCACACAGCCTCGGTAGCTGCAGTTCCCAGGTTCTGGAGCACAGGCTCAACAGTTGTGGCACACAGGCTTAGCTGCCCCATGGCATGTGGGATCCTCCCCACCCAGGGATCGAACCCGTGTCTCCTGCTTTGGTAGGTGGACTCTATACCCCTGGGCCACCAGGGAAGCCCCCAGACTATTCCTCTTGAGGCATAGCTACATCCGTTACAGGCTGGCTTGGTCTTCTCATGACTTCAGCTGACGTGCATATCACTCCATAAACTGGCTCTGACTCCTTCAAGTTCCACTCTTGTTTGTCATTACTCTTCTTAATGCTATTCAGCTAACATAGCCTAGGTGTTTACTCAAATGAAGGAAGCTTAAATGATCAAGAAACTGAAAATATTGGAAGTCTATATACAATAAAAAGTGAACATAAATTAACCAGTTCTATGGTTTTTATCCAGTTAAGGATTCATACACAGCTATAGTTACTCTGTTTTCTTTTATAGAGCACACATGGCACGAAAGCATAGTTTATTTATTTACTTATTTATCTGGGTTTAAATTTTTAACAGATATTGGTGTCATTAACACATTGGCTTGTTAATAATTAAGACATTTGACATACATGATATTTTAGTGCAGACAAGAAAAAACTTTACTATTATGTGCTGTGATGTTTTAAACTTTTAGTGTCTTTTCAATGTGAGAAAATAGCTGCACACATTCAAATGCTTTCTTATTAAGTCATGATCTTTAAAAAAAAAAAATCCATGATGATTGGTCTTGGTTCCTAGTATTAAGCTCTGTATTATCTTTTTTATGTAGAGTAAATTGTATTCTTATGCAAATTCAGGATTGTATTAAGACCTAGTAGTTCCTAAACCACATCAAGCAACGATCCTAACTGTGGCAAAACTGAGCTTTCACCTTCCTGAAGCTGAAGCCACTCCTTCTGGATATTTTCCTACTTTGATGTGAGATGATTATTAGGGTGTCAGTGGCTTTTCTTCAAAGCAGTTGTGATTTCTTCCATAGTTCATGGTTCTCAGGTGAGACATCTTTCTAAAACTCTTATAGTTCAGAGGTTTTTGGAAGAACCAAGCACTTTTTAGTTGACAAAGCTGGCCAAGGCAGCTCTAATAAATAAGCAACTCCATCCTGAACTATATCACAGTATAACCTGGAACCAAAGTAGGATTATTTTACTGTTTCCACAATTCACTTAATTGTTGTTTCAAATCTGAGATTTCCCATCATTATCATTTCTGTTTGAAGATTAAGGTGGTGTGTCCTGAGTTTCTCCCCTACAAGGCTACTATTTCTCCTTAGTAGTTAAAAAGGACTGGGGGGAGATACAAATATTCTGTTTCTCCTCCGTTTTTCACCCACTGATTCTAGCGTCCACTGGTGGATCTTGCCTACAACCATTATTGCTGTGATGTTTTCCTAATGATGAGCTTCTTTTCCCCTTGTTCCCTCTACATTCATTAACTGGAATTCTTCTGCGAGGAAGAGCTGTCTCTTCTCTCCATTCTATTTATTTAATCAGTCTAGACTTATAGATGCTTATTTTACTGCATGGATCACAGCCCCAAACTAACCCTTTAATTTGTGGCTCAGATGTTTCCAGCTTTGGTCATTGGGAGCTACTTCAGCTTGGTTCCTGTATCTTTTCAACATGTCCCCAAAATTTTTGAAGCACACCCTTAGTTTTTGGCACTATAGCATAGTTCAGACTCATCTTATATTTTTCCTGTGTCAGCCCTTCTCCAAGAAGCGTTGGGTTTCATGAAGAATAGTATTTATAAACCAAGATCTGAGAGCTGAGTGCTTATTGCTCCTGAGCATTGTCGCTTCTAGGCCTTCTTGGCAGACACAGGTAGGATACATATGTTTGTATACTACCCCCCCCATCCATACACACTGTATTTCTCTCTTTATCATCTCTATCTATCTATTTGTCACCATGAGTTCATGCTAATAACTGTGAATTCAATTCAGCACCAAAGGGTTCATTCTACCTTTCTCTTTTTCCTCAGTTGTACTTCTCTCTCTGCCAGTAAGACCCCTGGCTTTCATGATCTAAAATAGTTTACTTTATTATCATTCAATAATAATATTCATTTCTGGTGTAAATGGCAGCCCACTCCATTATTCTTGCCTGGAGAATCCCGTGGACAGAGTCTGTAGCCTGGTAGACTACAGTCCATGGGGTCGCAAAGAGTTGGACATGACAGAGGCGACTTAGCATGCATGCACTGGTGTGTCAGAATTGCTAACCTACATCGCAGTGAGAAAGATTTACCAACTAGAATACAGTGCGTGTGCGCTAAGTCTCTTCAGTGGTGTCCAACTCTTAGCGACCCTATGGACTGTCGCCTGCCAGGCTTCTCTGTCCATGGGATGCTCCAGGCAAGAATACTGGAGTGGGTTGCCATGCTCTTTTCCAGGGGATCTTCCTGACCTGGAGATTGAACCCATGTCTCTAACATCTCCTACATTGGCAGGCGGATTCTTTACCACTAGCACCACCCTGAGAAGCCCCTGGGAATACAGTACTTGTGTGCAATTCTTTTTGTCTTTAACCTCATACCATCCAAAACATTCTTTTCCCAAGTTACTTAGGTTTGTTCCTTTCTTTCCCAACCCCTTCACTCTGATTATGTTAGTTATTTGTGATACAGTTAAGTTCACTTGCTTTGCATTCCATTTTGAGTTCCCCCATATCCTGGTTGACGTTGATGATCTATTTTGTGAGTAAATGGTATGAACCTAACAGAAGCAGAAGATATTAAGAAGAGGTGTCAGGAATACACAGAAGAACTGTACAAAAAACATCTTCACGACCCAGATAATCACGATGGTGTGATCACTCACCTAGAGCCAGACATCCTGGAATGTGAAGTCAGGTGGGCCTTAGAAAGCATCACTACGAACAAAGCTAGTGGAGGTGATAGAATTACAATTGAGCTATTTCAAATCCTGAAAGATGATGCTGTCAGAGTGCTGCACTCAATATGCCAGCAAATTTGGAAAACTCAGCAGTGGCCACAGGACTGGAAAAGGTCAGTATTCATTCCAATCCCAAATAAAGGCAATCCCAAAGAATGCTCAAACTACCACACACTTGCACTCATCTCACACGCTAGTAAAGTAATGCTCAAAATTCTCGAAGCCAGGCTTCAGCAATATGTGAACCGTGAACTTCCAGATGTTCAAGCTGGTTTTAGAAAAGTCAGAGGAACCAGAGACCAAATTGCCAACACCTGCTGGATCATCGAAAAAGCAAGAGAGTTCCAGAAAAACATCTATTTCTGCTTTATTGACTATGCCAAAGCCTTTGACTGTGTGGATCACAATAAACTGTGGAAAATTCTGAAAGAGATNTGCAGTGATCCTTTTGGAAGATCTGTAACTTAAAACATTTTGGTAGCCTGTAAGGATCAGAAGAATTGACTCATTGGAAAAGACCCTGATGCTGGGAGGGATTGGAGGCAGAAGAAGGGGATGACAGAGGATGAGATGGCTGGATGGCATCATCAACTCAATGGACATGAGTTTGAGTAAACTCTGGGAGTTTGTGATGGACAGGGAGGCCTGGCGTGCTGCGATTCATGGGGTCGCAAAGAGTCGGACACGACTGAGCGACTGAACTGAACTGAACTGAAACATGATTATGGTCCTGAAAGCTAAAGCTATGTGATAAAAGACATACTCAGAGAAGTGTCGTGCCTTCTTCATCCCTACTTCCAAGTTTCCTCCTTTCCCCATCTATCTCCTGTACTGAGCCAGTCCCTTAAGTTTTTTGTATTAGCTCTGTATTTCTTGTGCACAAATGAGCAGATACATGTGTATTGTCTTAGCCGCTTTCCTTGTGACCCAAAGGATAGTGTAACTGAAAGTAGAAACATTTTGAACCCAGCTTTCTTCACTTAGCATCTGTCCAGGAAATCACTGCAAATCAGTTCATGGAGCTTGTCCTCATCCTTCTCTATAACTGTGTGTCCTTGATTATGTGGATTGACCATAATTTATTCCGTCACTCTGCTGTGTATGAGCACTTAAGTGCTTTCCTATGTACGAGCACTTAAGTGCTTTCCTATGTACCAGCACTTAAGTGCTTTCCTATGTACCAGCACTTAGGTGATTTCTAATATTTTGCAATTATAAATGATGTTCAATCAATTGTTGAACGTATAGTCCTCAAAATGGGACTGGCTGAGAGGGTGAAGTGCAAAATAGTTCTATTAGGTGTTGGTGAATTCCAGATTCCCCCTGTGTACCAGTTTGCCTTTCTCCAGCAATATATGAGAGTGGATATTTCCTTATAGCCTCACCAACAAAATTTTGCTAGTGTGATAGATAAGTGCTATCTCAATGTTGTTTGAGTTTTTCTGATCATATGTGAGTTTGAACATTTTCTCATGTGTTCGAGAGCCATTCTTTATAACGTTTTTGTGAATTGTCTATTTATTTCTTTTTCACTTTTTTCTATCGTGTTTTACTTCTGTGTCTCTCAGTGTTAAAAAAAAAATTCTTTACATATTAGGGGTATTAGCACTTTATTTCCTTTATTTGTAATATGCATAGCAAATATTTTCTTCTAGCATGTCAAGGTTTTGTTGTTGTTGTTCTTGCTGTAATTTATTCTGTGTCCATCTTTTAAGATCCAGATCAGTTGCTGCACTCTAGTGGAGCATCTCCACCCCCATTGTCCCCGCGTGGAAGTCACCTCTCCCGGCTCTGAAGGTCCAGAGCACTTAAATGCACCTTCCAAAGTAGTGGACTTCTGTTTCTCAGGCACATCACTTTTCACTTTGTTTTGTTATTTCTTCCTGTTGTTGTTCAGTTGCTCAGTTGTGTCTAACTCTTTGCGACCCCATGGACTGCAGCACACCAGGCTCCCCTGTCCTTCGTCATCTCCTGGAGTATGGTCAAACTCTTGTTCATTGAGTCGGTGATGCTATCCAAACATCTCATCCTCTGCTGCCCTTTTCTGAATTTGGGGGTAGCACAGTCTATAAAGCATTTTTATAAATGCTTTATAAAATATAGAGCACTATAAAGCACTTTAACAAACAGTCTATAGAGCATTTTTAGAAATGCAACCTAAAATTATCTGTCTTTTCCTTAGAGAATTATCACTAATACGAATTTTAGTCAGTGATATGTCCTCCATGGGTTATGATGCGCTTGGGTGTTGTGTGCAGTTGAAATCAACATGTAGGTATTTGGCAAAGTTTCCAGCTAAAAGGAAAAGTTATTAAACCTGCACTTGTAGTAAACTCACGCTGTTTCGTCAATGACGCAGGCGTCAGAATCCCGGGAAGACCTGGCGTGTGCCTTGAGGCCCGAGGGCACAGAGACCATCTACAAAGCGGCCGCGGTGCAGGTGGACGTGGCTGCATCCATCACGCTGCAAGTGCAGGTCTCCACCCTGGGGAACTCTTCCTGTCTCTGGGTTTTTAAACACAGCCACCTAAACTGCCAGCCACACTTCGATTTACAAAACAGGTAAGCGGGAGCCAGGGCAGCAATGTGTAACCACAAGGATTTTTGGAGAAATACTTTCTTCCCATAAAAAAAGACATTCTTGCTTCATTTGCAGTTTCTTTTCAAACTTCTGTAGACATTCATTATAACTCTTATCTCCAGTGAAATAAAGTGAACCAAAAAATTAGGGCATGAATTCATGACATTTTATAGCAGTCAAAATGCACAGGGTAAGCACAAAAAGTGAGTCCTAATGTAAACTACGGACTGTAGTTAATATCAGTATCAGTTCATCACTTGTAACAAATACACCACACATATGCAAGATGTTAGTAATAGGAAAACTGAGGTTGGTGGGGGGAATGGGGAAGGATGTGTTCGGGATCTCTGTGTTTATGCTGTTTTCCCATAAATGTAAAATTGTACTAAAAAATAAAGTCTATTAATTTAAAAAGTTATATAGACATATATGGTATATTTTGGGCCTAAGAAGGGCTTCCCAGGTGACGCTAGTGGTAAAGAATCCACCTGCCAATGCAGGAGACATAGGAGATGCAGATCCAATCCCTGGGTCGGAAAGATCCCTTGGAGGAGGAAATGGCAACCCACTCCAGTATTCTTCCCTGGGAAATCCCGTGGACAGAGGAAGCTGGCGGGCCACAGTCCATGGAGTTGGACATGACTAAGAGACTGAGCAGCCAGGGCCTAAGAAGGTAGTGATAGCTGACAAAATGTAAAACAAATAGTGAACAGACCGTGCGGGATTTTAAAGGTGGCTTGTTTTTCAAAAATTTTATTTACGTATTTTATTTTTGGCTCCACTGGATCTTCATGACTATGCGTGGACTTTCTCTAGTTGATGCGGGTGGCGGCTTCTCTCTCTCTAGTGCAAGGGCCCCTCATTGCAGTGGCTTCTCTCGCTGGATCACACAGGCTCCAGAGTGCGGGCTCAGTGGTTGTGGCACATGGACTCGGTTGCCTTACAGGATGTGGATTCTTCCCAGACCAGGGATCAAACCCAAGTCCCTTGCATCGGCAGACAGATTATAAACCACTGGACCACCAGGGAATTCCAATGGCTTGTGTTTTCATTTTATTTTGTCTTAAAGATAAAAAATTAGAAAATTTCTCTTCCTTTCTGGTTAAAGTAGCAAAGAGCTTACTAGTTAAAGTAGTGAGAAGCTTCTTTCTGGGAATTGCTGGCCTGTTTTGTTTCCCAGAATCATGAGCAGAATTGTAATGTGTGATATCGTGAAACATTAGAAATTGACCTCTGTGTGGCGAGCATTGGTGTCAGGATCCAGAAACATGTTTTAAGATTGACAGCAAAGCCCTGAATCTAACCCTGTGCTGACTGCAGCCCCTGCTGTCCACTTCCAGGGAGGGTAGGAAGCAGGGGGCACGGGCCATTTGAATGCCCACTTACTAATTCTACACTGCTTTATTCTCTAATTCTTGGGTTGCTCTGGCATCCCAAAACTGTAGCAGAGGCATTGTCTTTCTAGAAGCAATGCAGAAAACAGTGTTCCATGACCCTGTCTGGGTCAATGACCCAAAGAGTGCTCCATGCCGCCTATCTGGGACAATGGGAGAACACCCATGACTGGGTTGTACCAAGGATTTGAATTTGTTTCTATAAGGTCAGACTGACATTGAAGTCGTTTTCAGGCCAGTAGCTATAATTCTGAAGTCTGGTTCTAAACCTTAGAGCACATTCATTTTCCTTTCCTCTTTTGAGGCCGTATTACTCACTTCTCTTTTTTTGCTTACGTTTACCTTGGGGTTAAAGCAAGGCACTCAGTTATTAAGAATTTTGTCTTAAGGAAACGTTCCAGTAATTTTATTAAAATCTAATACCACAAGATTTTATCACTCTGTGTATGCTAAAAAGCATGTAAATAATCATTTTTTCTGCACACCACAGAATTCCAGTAAAACAAAATGAAATCTCTTCTTAGAGACTAATATATATACATATATATTATGTATATAGATAGATAGGTATATAGGCATATAGATATGCATATATAAAATGCCACAGCAGCTCTTGGAGTGAGACCAAAAAGAAAAATAAAAAATAAGGGTTCTTTTTACTCTGCTGAAAGATTGCCTTTTTTTGTTGTAGGTCAGGCAGCCAAAGTCATAGGTCTTTTGTGGGTTAGTTAACCTAGTACCAAGACATTTTTAGAAACTTCTCCATAGCAAAGAGTTACAGAATTTAAGGGCTTCCCAGGTGGTGCAGTGGTAAAGAATAGGCCTGCCAATACAGGAGACACAAGAGACACGGGTTCGACCCCTGGGTTGGGAAGAGCCCCTGGAGAAGGCAATGGCAACCCACTCCAGTATTCTTGCCTGGAGAATCCCATGGACAAAGGAGCTTGGTGAGCTACAATCCATGGGGTCACAAAGAGTCAAAACACAACTGTGCACGCACGCACACACACACACAGAAATTAAATCTGCTCTCAGACTCATAACCAGACAGATCTGATAACCATCTCAGAGTTTTGTATGAGATACCCGAGTTCACATATGATACTAGGAATATGAAGAGTTCAGAGAAAGAAAGCACGTCAAAACACCTGCATGAGCAAAAAATACATATTTGTTGTTGTTGTTTTTTGGTTGTTAAGTCGTGTCCGACTCTTTGTGACCCTATGGACTGTAACCCGCTAGTCTCCTCTGTCCATGGGGATTCTCCAGGTAAGAATACTAGAGTGGGTTGTCATGCCCTCCTCCAGGGGATCTTCCTGACCCAGGGATTGAACCCACATCTCTTACATCTTCTGCATTGGCAGGCAGGTTCTTTACCACTAGTGCCACCTGGGAAATGAAGGCCCCTAGCCAGATTGATCTTTACCAAGTATTTGAAAACTTAGAAATACTCACATTGAGACATCTCTCTCCTTACATCCATGTGATGTATCAGTGTAATTATTATCTCATAGGAAAATGCTTTGTGTCTGATTTTACTTGAATTCTTCCCTCTGGAGGGATGGGATACAAAACGGACTGTTCTTAGTCTCAGCACATCTTGCTTGTTCCATCATGTGGTTCTGCAAATGGGGCACCAAGGCATGTGACCAGGTGACTGGCAGATAAGCCTATGGAGGATGCTTTTTCATTGGCAGGAATGATGCCCTGCTACCAAGGAAGGCATCCCACCAAGTCTATGTGGTTTTGGCCGGAGTATTCCCTCCAAGTGGCTCAGGCAGCATGAGGTGAAGGCACACACTCCCCAGGGAGGGACCGGATCAAGGTCACGGTCAAACTAACAAGGCCCAAGCTGAGTGTCAGGCGCAGGACAGGAGCTTTGTTCTCCACGGAGGTGAACCAGAGCGGCCCAACTGCCTTCTGACTCAGTGTGAAATTTGATGGTTTTTGTTTCACAAGTTTTCCAGATTAACCAGTTCTCTTTCTTGTGTTTCAGAGGAGTTTTTTCCATGGTCATTTTGAAAATGACAGAAACCCAAGCTGGAGAATACCGCCTTTTGATTCAGAGTGCAGCTAACAATTACACAGTATTGTTTACAGTGAGTATAAGAAGTAAGTGCCATTTGCTCCTAGGTTTTCTCAATATTCTAAAGGGGTGGTTGGAATCCAAGAGCTCTTACCAGGTGCCCCAGACAGTTTAACCAGGTTTCCCTCGACATGTGGCTGAATTAATTGAACTCACTTCAACCTCCCCCATCACCTATTAAGACTCTGCTATGACCCACAGACTGAGCGTGAGTGCTCGTCAGAACCTCTATTTTAGAGCTCCCCATTTTTTTTTTCACTGTCAGACAGATGACAAGGAAGAAGTGGAAAGCATTTTGACCTTAGAGTCAGAAGACCTGAGTCCTTATTCTGGATTTGATGTGACCGTTTTGGGTGGGTCATGGCATCCTCTCTGAGCCAATGGGGATACACAGACATATCTCACAGGATCGCACGAGCTTAGGCAACAAGAATGTCTGTGTCTGCACTGTCCGGAAAGGTATCCACTGGCCACAGGTGGTTGGTGAACACTTGAAATATAGCCAGTGCGACTGGGCACCAAAGTTGTCACTTTATTTAATTTTAATTGATTGAAAGTTGAATTTAGATAACCATATGGAACTGGTGGCTGCTGTGTTCATTGCAATGCCCCCATGGCTATGCAGACCATCAGGAGCAAGGCAGAGGTTCTCACTGGGGTGTTGGGGGGCCAGGGGAGGACGGGGACATGCTGTGCAGTTGGCAAAACCACCTCCAGCATGTCTTCTGGCTTCTCCTTGTCTCCACTGAGTTCTGCCAGGCCTCGCGGTTGTGCAGGCTCAGCCCTGTACCCCCTCCCCCCAACTGCTTTACCCCACATGACAAACGGGGACTAGAGGTGGTACGTTCACGTGGGTCCCGCTGCCTTTAGGGGCCAGGGCAGCACTGCAGAACTCTGGTTCATCCACTGTAAATCAAGCTCCCTGGTTGCACCATGGTGAGACTTGCAGGCAGCGGGTGCAGTGCCTGTGCGTCCTGGCCCATAGCGGTGCGGGGCTCAACGACTGGAAGCTGAGCTTGGCCAGGTCTGCATTCCCGGCCTCCCTGCCCTGGGTCTTGCAGTCAGAGCTGCAAGCAGCAGAGCCATTTTGATTCCCACAAGGCTCATCTGAATGGGGCTGGGGACAAGGTGTTAGGCTCCAAAGTCAGCCTGTCCAGCAAAAGCCAGGCAAAGTCAAAATCGGTCAACGTTTGTTTTGAAAAGCCCACCAGTTACTCTGATATGTAAAGAACCGGAGCCCTAGAAGGTCAAAAGTCAAGAGGTACCTCTCATTGCTCTTTGATTTTAGTCTTGTTCCTGACCCCTCCCCAGTCCTCCACTCCGCTCTGAGACAGGAAGTGCTCAGGTTGGAAGAGAATGGGAGATTTTTTGCTCTCTTTCTTCCCCTCTGTTTTTTGCCAAGTGTTGAATTTGTATAAAGTAAATGTGCCTCTGCTGTCTTTATTATACTTAGGGCAACTTTTTTTCACTTAAGATTTACAATGTACAAATGAAAAGAAAAAGATTTACAATGTAAAAATAGCACAACAATCATTCAAGTAAGTTGCAACTGCTTTTAACGGTGCTGCTGGGTGGTGGGATTCAAAAAAATCAGGTGGGTTAGACTTGGCAGCAGTCAACATGAAAAAGAGGAAAGGGTTTAGTGAACCACAAGTTCAGTATTAACCAACAGTATGTTATGGTTGCTAAAAAAGGAAATCTGAACCTTGGCAGCATTCACAAAAATGTAATGTCTGGGTTAAGAAAATTCATGGAAAATTACTATTTACAGTTCTACATTTTTGGCAGATGAACATTGACAAAACAGAGCCACCAGGATAGGGAAGATCTTGGAATTCCTTAAGTTAGGAGAAGCTAAGGGAATTAAGAATGTTTAGCAAAGAAAAGGAAATATTTTGAGGAAAGCAGAAGATTGATTGCAGTGTAACGTAAAGGAAATTCTTCTGATGTGAGTCAGGAAACCTGGGCTAACTAGTTAAAAACATCTTCGATGGCAGTGGTCTTCCTTAACCTCAGGATGATTTTAAATATTGGAAAGATTTTCCCATGGAAGCAAAGCTTCACTTTAAAAAAAAAAAGAATTGCTCTAGAGGGTAGACTTGGGACCACTGGTCAGAAGCTACAGGAAGAGACGGTAAAAACTATGATACAATGGGAAAAGATGTTTGTAATTCACATAACAACAAAGATTGAATAGTCATAATAGATAAAGAACTTCTATAAATCAATAAGAAAAAAAACTAGTAGAAAAGTAAAAGATATGAGTAGGTATTTCGCTGTATAATAAACATATTAAATTAATAGCTGAGACATGCAAATTAAGACCACAGTGAAGGGCTTCCCTGGTGGCTCAGGGGATAAGAATCCACTAGCCGAGGCAGGAGACATAGGTTTGGTCCCTGATCCGAGATGATGCCACATGCCTTGGAGCAGCTAAGCCTGAGCACCACAACTTGTGAGCCTGTGCCCTAGAGCTGAGGAGCCACAACAACTGAAGCCTGTGTGTTCTATAGCCCGTGCTCTGCAAAAAGAGAAGCCACTGCAAGGAGAAGCCCGCGCACCGCGACAGGACAGAAGGCCCCACTCACTGAAACTAGAGAAAAGCCTGCTCAGCAACAAAGATCCAGCACGGCCAAAAATAAATAATAAATATATTTTAAATTATCTTAAAAAAGACCACAATGACATATGATTTTATACCCACCGGATGGTTGGAAACAAATTGTCATTATGCGTGGATCCACACCATAGGAATCAGAAGTTGCACTCCAAGGTCTATTGTTAAAGGAATGTACACACCTGCCTTGATAGAAATGCACAGGATGTTCATAGCACCGCTGTTGGTGATTCAAACTACAAGAAACACCCAAATGTCCCCTGCAAGAAAATGGAACAGTAGACTGTGATATATCCACCAGTGGAACACAAGGTAGTGGTAGCAAAATGAATTAAGCATCAGTTCAGTTCAGTCGCTCAGTCATGTCTGACTCTGACCCCATGGACTGCAGCACGCCAGGCCTAGGGAGGCCTTGGTTGTCCATCACCAACTCCTGGAGATTACTCAAACTCATGTCCATTGAGTCCACGATACCATCCAACCATCTCATCCTCTGTTGTCCCCTTCTCCTCACGCCTTCAGTCTTTCCCAGCATCAGGGTCTTTTCCAATGAGTCAGCTATTCACATCACGTGGCCAAAGTTTTGGAATTTGGGCTTCAGCATCAGTCCTTCCAATGAATATTCAGGACTGATTTCCTTTAGGATGGATTGGTTGGATCTCCTTGCAGTCCAAGGGACTCTCAAGAGTCTTCTCCAACACCACAGTTCAAAAGCATCAATTCTTCAGCTCTCTCTTCATTTTTATTTATTATGTTTCAAAATTTACTCTTTGTATATCTTTGGTGTGTGTATACACACACACACACATATATATATATGTATGCATATATATATATATATAAAGTATTATAGTATTTTAGAACAATTGATTATAAGAGAGAAGATTGAAATTTAGCATTTTTTCTTTAAAAAAAAAAAAGGTTCCAAACTGGAAGGATCTACTCTGGGAGGTCATGAACTCCTGTCGCTAAGGGTTCCAAGCAGAAGTAGAGTTGATATGATAAGCACCGTGGGGAGGGGGAGAAGAAGATAAGAGGAAGGGGACGGGGAGGTTCAATGTGAATAAGAGGCTAAAATAAACCTCTTAATTCTGTTTCAATTCTATCTCCATTCGACTATATTTCTGCCTAGTTCTAGATAAAATTGTGGGCAGAAAGTGTTAGTTGCTCAGTCATGTCCAATTCTTTGCAACCCCATGGACTGTAGCCCACCAGGTTCCTCTGTCCATGGGGGTTCTCCGGGCAAGAATACTGGAGTGGGTTGCCATTCCCTTCTCCATGTGGGCAGAAAGCTGAGCCTCAAAACTAGATAAGTAAGTGTTATAAACTTTATGTTATTTCTGCTCTTCTTTTTCCCATGCGTATTGATATTTGTGTTTTTACCTGGCTTCCCTCCACTAAACTTTAGTTGTCTTTGGATTCATGAAATAGCCAAAGACATTAGCTAAGAGAATAAATGCCAGTTAGCATTTCAGCCTGAGTTGAGTTTAATATATTGGTGAGGAGGGGCTATGTTATTGTATATATTTGGAGTGGAGTGGAAGATACTGCTATAGCATAAGAGATGAACTTTTCTTGATGTAGAATTCTTCTTTTGAGGAGACTAAGACAGTTTTTTTTAATGTTTTTCATATGAAACATTTTTAATATTAAAATGTGAATAATTTATAATGCTTTAGATACACTGCTTTACACATTAAGAAAACCTTACTTTAGAAAAATGGAAAATCAGGACGCCTTGGTCTGCATCTCAGAGAGTGTTCCAGAACCGACGGTGGAATGGGTGTTCTGCGATTCACAGAGTGACAGGTATGATGTGAGAACGGCTTATGACTTCACTGTTGCGGTCTTTTTCTAATATAGCTGACATCACACTGTATGTACAAGTTGTCACCATGCTAACAAGAAACTTGGCCTTTTAAAGCATGGTTGGTGTGGACTTCCCAGGGGGAACATGGGGGGTGTCTTAGTGAGGGGCCCTCTGGAGCCCTTCATGGGTCATGTCCCTGACCTGTAGGACCCTCCCTGCATATCACAGGATGTGAATAAACCTTCTTTAAGTTACAGGGTTGTTGACTCTGTTGGGGGAAAAAGAAAGGTCCAGGGCTTTCCCTGGTGGCTCAGTAGTAAAGAACCATCTGCCAGCGGGGAAGAAACGGGTTTGATCCCTCATCAAGCACGTAAGCCCAGGTGCCGCGCTATTGAGCCCGTGCTCTAGAGCTTGGGAGCCACAAGTACTGAGCCCACGCGCCGCAACGGCAGACGCCTGCACGCCCCAGAGCCCGCGCTCCGTCCGCAGTAAGAGGAGCCGCCGCGCTGAGAAGCTGGCGTGCCCCAGCCAGGGAGCAGCCCCCAGTCACCACCCTTCAGAGAAAGCCCGCACGGCAGCACAGACCCAGCACAGCCAAATAAATAGAGTCAGAAATGGTTGTTTAACTTTTTTTTAAAAAAGGTCCAGACTTTCAAATTTTTTACTTTTTAATTTTATCTTATTTGGCTGCACTGGGTCTTAGTTGCGGCATTCGGGATCTAGTTCCCTGACCAGGGGTGGATCCCTGGCCCCCTGCATTGGATGCATGGAGTCTTAGTCACTGGGCCCCCAGGGAAGTCCCAGGTCCAGGTTTCAGTGTATAATCCCCTATAGGAAAAAAATCCCCTCTGAATGAATGTTTAATTTGTGCTTATTCCATGTATTCTGGAATAGCAGATATGATTGTTAGAAGATGTAGAATCTGCCTGGGTCTGAACCCTTCTGTGCTTATACCTGTGTGGCCTTGAACGGGTTATTTAATCCCTTCCCACCTCATTAGAAGTGTGGGGCTGGTAGCGGTCTGTACCTTATTAGGAGCGCTCTGATGAGGAAGTGAATCAGTACATGTGAAACACACAGAACAATGATAGTAAGTAGATAGTAAGTACCTTATAAATGTGTTATACCTAGGTGTCCACAAAGTAAGGATTCATGTTGTTTGAACCAATTAAAATGTTCTAAACAACTTTTATTGAAAAATGGGACTAAAAAAAAAGAAAAGAAAAATGGGACTAAAGAGAAGGAGGGAAAAAAAATCAGGTTGCCAAATGATAAAACTGGGATCCTACATTTTGAAGGAAAAAGAGATTACCTATAGATATAAATGTAGTGTGTGAACAGAGAAGAAAAAGATTAGAAAGCTACACACAGCAAAATAGTAACTGTTGTCATCTCATGGTGGTAGGAATATGGGCAAATTAAAATTCTTTTCTTTGGGTTTTCCTGGATTTTCCAAAATTTCTACAATAAGCAATTATTGTTGTCTTAAAGATTAATTATTATTGGGACTTCCCTGACAGTCCCGTGGTTTAGACTCTGATCTTCCAATGCAGGGGATTCAGGTTCCATCCTGGTCAGGGGACTAAGATTTCCCTTACCACTTGGCCAAAAAAAAAAAAAAGAATTATTATTGTAATTTAAAAAGAATTATTGTTGTCATTTTTAAAACTCAGGAATAATGCATAAACAAACAAAGAATATATTTGACTAAAGTGATAAAGAGGAGAAAAGTGACTATACACAGAAGCTGTATGTAGTCACAGAAAGCTGTGACTATTCCAAAAGCTGTACCTGCTTTGGGGAAGGTTATAGTTAGGAAGGGGGGAGAGGGCAGGGAGAAGTCCCTCAAATCCCCGTGTGTGTGTGCTAAGTTGCGACCCCAGGGACGGTAGCCCAACAGGCTCCTCTGTCCTTGGGGATTCTCCAGGCAAGGATACTGGAGTGGGTTCCAAGGGATGTTATCAAATCTGAGTCTCCTGCACTGCAGGCAGATTCTTTAGCACTGAGCTGCTGGGGAGCCCAAATCCCCAGGTGTGGCTGGCCCCTCTCTGGGGACACCACCCTCTCCGCTGTGAGCTGTGGGGACCCTGGGCACTTCTGCAAGCCTGACCTCTCTCCGTCTCACTGCTGGTCCTCTTCAGAGCTTCTCAGACACCTACACCTTGTTGCCGTATTAAAACCTAATTGTGCTTTTCCTTTTCTCCATTTTCTCCACCCCCACCCCCGCTTTTCTGTCTTTTCTCAGTTCTTCCATTTGTTTTCTCTGTTTAACAACAACCAAGAGGTCACCAGACACGAAATCTTTTTTTAAATTAATTTTTATTGTAGCATAGTTGCTTTACCGTGTTGTGTCTAGTGTGGCGCAAAACGAATCTGACGTACATGTACAAGTATCCCCTCACTTTTGGATTTCCTCACCGATTCGGTCACCTCAGAGCATTAAGTAGAGTTCCCTGAGCTATACAGTATGTTCTCATTTGTTGTTGTTTAGTCGCTAAGTTGTGTTCAACTCTTTTGTGACCCCATGGACTGTAGCCTGCCTGGCTCCTCCGTCCACGGGGTTTCCCAGGCAAGGATACTGGAGTGGGTCAAGCCATTCCCTTCTCCAGGGGTCTTCCCGAGCCAGAGACTGAACCCTTGTCTCCTGCATTTTCAGGCGGATTCTTTACCTCTGAGCCACCAGGGAAGCCCATGTTCTCATTAGTTATCTGTTTTATACATACTGTTACCTATTTTACACATGCTGTTTTCTATTTTATACAGACTATCAATAGTGTATATATGTCAGTCCCAATCTTCTAGTTCCTCCCACCCCCCTTTCCCCTTTAGTATCCATATTTTTCTCAAAACTTTTTGAACTCTCATTATGTGATTCTCTCCAGCGTTATTCTAATTAGGTGAGGTGATGAATAACTAACTAGTTCCCTTAAGAACTCTGTGGGTGGTGCGGGCACCATCAGTATGAATTGGTTTGCCTTGTGACCTGCTCCTATCTTTATTTTCTTATCAGTCTGTTAAACTCTACAACCTTTTATCTGGTTCTTCTCCGGAATACTCACTTGTCATTTTAAAAGGTGTTTAGTCAACTGACATTTCTTTTTTAATGGCAGCTGTAAAGGAGAGAGTCCAGCTGTCGTCACGAAGGAGGAGAGTGTCCTCCATGAGTTATTTGGAACAGATATCAGGTGCTGTGCAAGAAATGAGCTGGGCAGGGAATGTACCAAGCTCTTCACTATAGGTAAGACCATGACATCGTGTCCGTCTGTTTTCTGGGATAGTTCCTCGGAGACAGTCTGGGACTAATCATCACCCCTTAGGTCCTCACTCAATTTAAAAAATGCTATAGTTCCTTCAGGCCATTTTCAGTGTAACATTATGGATTCTTTCTGTGCTCATTTCTTCATAACAGACTACTTAATCTCTGAAAGATCCTTTTATTTTGGGGTAGTTGATAACATTTAAGATGCCATTAAAATCTTTTTCTTTTTAAATTTATTTATTTCTTTTTGGCTGTGCTGGGTCTTTGTTGGTGCACCGGCTTTTCCCTAGCTGCGGCAAATGGGGGCTCCTCTCTAGTTGCGGTGCACGGACCTCTATTGTGGTAGCTTCTCTTGTTATGTAGCACAGGCTCTAGGATGTGTGGGCTTCAGTAGTTGCATCTCCCAGGCTCTAGAGCAGAAGCTCAGTAGTTGTGACCCATGGACTTCGTTGCTCCACAGCATGTGGGATCTTCCTGGACCAGGGATGGAACCTGTGTCTCAGGCGGATTCTCTACCACTGAGCCCCCAGGGAAGCCCTGAGATACCATTAAAACCTTTATTCTGCAGAATGTTCAGGATATATTGTGTGGTGCAGGGGGTAATCACTTTTTTTCTTACCCGGGATTTTTTCATCTTCTAGATCTAAACCAGACTCCTCAGACCACACCGCCACAATTATTTCTTAAAGTAGGGGAACCCTTGTGGATAAGGTGCAAAGCCATTCACATAAACCACGGATTCGGGCTCAGCTGGGAATTAGAGAATAAAGCTCTGGAAGAGGTGAGAGGATGAGCTTGTATTCTGAAATGCAGAAAAATGAACCAAGAATCCAAGTGGAAATCACTCCATTCAAACTCTGTTTTATATTAAAATCTAGGGCAGCTACTTTGAGATGAGTACCTATTCCACAAACAGAACTATGATACGGATTCTGTTTGCTTTTGTATCATCAGTGGGAAGAAACGACACTGGCTATTACACTTGTTCCTCTTCAGAGCATCCCAGTAAATCAGCTTTGGTCACCATCCTAGGTAATGCAGCTGCGCACATAATCTGTACTTATGTTTTAGTTGTTTTAGTGTGGAGTGTAATGTAGGTGCTGCACATTCTGCTTTTAGTATAAGGTTAGTATCAAAAAGTTGAGAGAGAAATTGAATTAGGATAGCTTTGTGAAATCAATACAAGCTGCCCCTTCCCTTCCTTTTCTGGTTAAACCGAGCCTGAGCCCACTTGAATGCCACTGTTTTTGCACTCATCACATTGTAATGTGACTCTCTGTTTGTGGATTTTTGTCTTCCAGTAGGCTGGAAGGTTCCTAAGGACAGGAATAACCCCTTCTATCCTTGTAGTCCCAGGCGTGGCAGAGAGCCAGATGCAAAATGCACCATTAATAAGCACTTGTTCTAAGAACTACCTGAGAACTGCCCCTCAAGGGCAGAGAGCAGTGGCTGAGAAAGCCCAACAAACACTTGTTGTTTAATCAGTCGGTCATGTCTGACTCTTTTGGGACCCCATGGATTGTAGTCCACCAGGCTCTTCTGTCCATGGGATTCTCCAGGCAAGAATACTGGAGTGGGCAGCCACTTCCTTTTCCAGGGGCTATTCCTGACCCAGGGATTGAACCCGTGTCTCCTGCATTGGCAGGTGGATTCTTTACCACTGAGCCTTGAAGAAATGGAAATTTGGGTGGGCTGTGTAGGATCTGACAATAACCCTGCTTTAAGTAATCTCAGAGACTCCAATAATTTTTTTTTAAAAAGTGATCTCAGAGTAGGTGGCAGCCTTTAGCCATCTACTTTGAAAATGCTGAGAAATAAAGAGATTCTCTTATCAAACTAACAAGGAAGTATTCCCCAGGGAAACCTTGTGAGTATTACTGGCTAGACTGTTCTTTTATTTGTGCCCTGAGATTATTTTATGCGGGATAAGTCATGAGGAGGCCATTCTGACTGAGGGATTGTCAGTGGGTCCCTCTGTGTCCACGGTTCACCAGGCTTGGGGAGTCCTCCAACCCCTTGAAATTGTATGCAAAATCAGTAGATGTCTTTATACATTTCTCTGGGAAGAGCATCAATTATTCACATCTAATTCTGAGCGTAATCAGAAGGTGATATGTTCAGGCTTCTAACTGGGGACAGGACCCATGTGTTTCTTGTTAGGCTATCAAATCTCAGTTTTCTTGCATAAAACTGATGAATAAAAATTTATTGTCTCAATATATTTCCATATGAATCTCATTATCTAATTTAGAAATGCGTTCTTTTTTTTTTTTTACAGAAAAAGGATTTATAAACGTTTCCAAATCAAATGAAGACTATGAAATTGACCAGTATGAAGAGTTTTGTTTTTCTGTCAGGTTTAAAGCATACCCACAAATCAGATGTACATGGACCTTCTCTCGAAAATCATTTCCTTGTGAGCAAAGTGGCCTGGACGATGGGTACAGGTGAGTCCAGGAGGCATCGTCATTCTTGGCCAGACCCTTCTGGTTTCCTTTGAGTTAATGTGCTATCATGTTGATATGGAAGACGAGGAAGCAAGCAGCAGACTTGAGGGCATAATGACAACTCTTTAATCAGTTCAGAGAGTGTAACCTACTCACGAAAAACAGAAAGAACCATTGTCGGTTTGAGTCCGGCATTTTCTGAGTCACCCGATAGTTACTTCCTATTTGAGGGTATGTGCTACTGGTACATGAAGTCTCTCTCAGCCTCTTGGCAGATGACTGAGGAAGTAAAACCCCTGAAAACCAGAAAACACTACCTATAGGTATATTGATTTGAGTTTTCAAAAAACAAACACAGACATAGTCCAAGGATAAATGCTGAAGGAAAATCTCATTTTCCTGGGGGTTTGTCCAACCGCACTCAAGTTTCTCTTCTGGGAGAAATTCTTCAGTCCCTCTTTGGAAAATAAAAATCGACATGTTTTTAAAGTTGAAGGATAGTTAATTTGCAATGTTATGTTAGTTTCATGTGTATAGAACAGTGATTCATTTATACACATATTTTTTGTTGTGGTGTAGTTGCTAAGTCATGTCTGACTCTTTTGCAACCCCATAGACTGTAGCCCACCAGGCTCCTCTGCCCATGGGATTCTCCAGGCAAGAATACTGGAGTGGGTTGCCATTTCCTTCTCCAGGGGATCTTCCTGACCGGGGGACTGAACCTGAGTCTACTTCATTAACAGGTGGATTCTTTACCACTGGGAAGGCATCAGGGAAGCCTCTTATACATACATATATTCTTTTTCAGCTTCTTTCCCATTATAGATTATTACAAGATATTGAGTGCAGTTCCCTGTGCTAACCAGCAGGTCCTGTTGTTAACCTATTTTACATATAGTAGTGGGTATATATTAATCCCAAACTCCAAATTTATCTCTCTTTTTCCCTCAAAAAAACAGCTCTTCCTTGTATATCCTGTGGCTCTGATGCTTCTTATCTCTTAAAACTAATCCCTGGTAACAGTGGTTTCAGGATAGACTATGAGCGGAGAGGCACCTGTCATGTTTTAAACAAGTCGATGGGTTTATGGTAAACCACTGATTCTCAATGTGAGTCCATAAACCAACTGTGTAGGAATCATCTGGGTGGATATTAAAAATGTGGATTCCTTGCTCCCATTTCAGACACGATGAACCAAAATCAGGGCACAACCCCCAAAGGCTACATTTTTTAAAAGAAAACTGCACAGTTGATTCTTGTTCCAATTTTTATCACAATATACTGATTCTGCAGTGGTTTTCACCATCAAAATATATTTTTCTTGACATTACAGCAGACTTGCAGAACACGTGGAGCACAGCTGAATGTTGTTCCAAGGTGCCGTGTCAGGGCTTGGATTAATCTCCTTTGCTAGTCACTGGCTGTTGAGTTTAGATGCTGAAAGTTCAGTCACAAAAGAAACTACAGTCAGGAGTTGGTTCTCTGGGGTGCACCTGTTACCTTTGCCCTTTAATAACCACAGTTGAGTAATTTCGGACAAATACTGCTTCTAGAGTCTATGTGTTTAATGAGAAACTCTGGTGATTCCTGTCATAGGTCTCGTCCTGGGCTGTGCGGTACGGATCTACCAGCCACACACGGCTGTTGAGAGCTTGACATTTGACTGGTCCCAGTGGAGATGCACTGTGGCTGTAACATGCACACCAGGTTTTTAGGACTTAGGATGAGAAATGGGATGTGAAATATCTCAATAATTTTTATCTTGATTATATGTTAAGATGATAGTATTTTAGATATATTAAGTTCAATAAATTTACCATTACTGTTTACCATTCATTTTTAAAGTAATTAAGAAGGCAGCCTTTGGATGGACTCACAGTCCCCTAACTCAGGGCTTCTCAACAACAGACTGTTGACATCCTGGGCTGGGTAATTCTCCACTCAGGGTGCTGGGGGTGGTGGTGGTGGGGTCTTTCTTCTGTGCAGTAGGATATTCTGCTGAGTCCCTGTTCTGTGCCCCATGGATGTTAGTAGCACCACTCACCCCACTTGTGACAACCTAAAATATCTGCGGACATTGCTGGATGTCCCCTGGTGAGAAAAAGTTCCTGTGGTGGAGAACCACTGCCTTGGAGAGGGGCGTCACCCCATTGTCATAAGCCCTTATTCTGAACCATCAAACTTCTGAAAGTAGAAGGTAGGGGCTCAGTCCTGGTTGAGTTGACTACTTGTGTTTAGGATGCCCGTGCCACCCCTTTCCCTGTTCTTTGTGTTGTCACCCAACGTCAGAGAAGCTCTCAGTTCTACAGGATTCTCTTGCAAAATTGATTCAAAGAGATAGATGATCAGTTCAATTTAGTTCAACAAATATTCCTTTAATACCTTCCCAATGGGCTCAGTGCCCTCAGGGGCTGCAAGCGTGAACAAGGTGATGTCTCCCCCTCAACTCCCTCAAGTTATGTAGGCACATTGAAGTGCCAGGGCCCACCTGGGAGGTCTTTGCTATGTGTACTGGTGACACCTGGCACCATTCTTAAGATCTGACAGACTCACTGATGAGATGACCGTGTCTCTGACATATATGGGTCTTGGGCCAATCTAGTTAATCTAGATGGTTTCATTCCATGATCACAACCTGCACCCCTGACCCCAAGTAGTTATCTTCAAGAGGCAGCTAAATGGATAAATTAGGGAAGATCCTGACGCCTATAGTGATGTGTGCCTCTCAGCCCTAGTTACTGGGTGATACAGTTAGCCTCTTATGTGTTGAATCCCACTGTGGGGATAGGCGTTGTCATTTTTCTGTCTTTTTAGAAAGGCGTTGTACAATGCCTTGTGCTATTGTACAAGGCAACAGCTATTTAGTAAACAGTCAACAGCTATTTAGTAAATGAATGAATTCATCATCACCTCCCAGAAATCAATTCAAAGTGTGCACTCATCACAACACCTAACACTCAGTGTTTATTTTATTTAAAAAGTTCTTGAAGAGCTACAGTATTAATTGATTAAAATGATGCAGTGAGTGTGATGGCCCACTTGATTCACAATGCCAGGTGAGATAGAGCCTCCTCCATCATGAAAGACACTAAAAATATTGAATAAAAGATGAACGACCAAAAAAATTGAGCATGAGTGCTTTCAATGTCTTCTGCTCCCTACATGAGGCTCTATGTTGTAACTGGGGATGCAGAATAAATTGAGTTCTTTTCCATTTTTTTATTATAAAAAGTTCCCAATTTATGAATGAACTCAGGGGATAGTACAGTGAGCATCCTTTACCCACCACTCAATTTCAACTATTTAGTCAAACTGAATTTTGTTGATGAAGTACAGAATTTTCATCATGTGGCAGGAGAGGACTTTAGAAGCAAAGTGCCACCAGTTTTTCTGTGTAACCAAAAGGTCTCGTAATAACAGTACTCCTGAAAAAGCTTTGGTGTGGTCGTGTGTGCGCCAGAAATCTAGCAGCTTCCCCCACCTTCACAGCTTCGTTTCTCCAATTTACTTCCTCAAATATTGCACAGAGTTTATTAGGGTTTGCCTTTATGTTTACGTTTTATGAATTGTAACTTTCCAGCAGCCCTGATAACCAGGTCTTGGGAAAAGGTTCTAGGATATTTCGTCTGTTCGTTTGCTTAATTTCATATCTCTGTAGACTTACAAACAAATCTGCCTTAGCTTTTCCTAATTTCATGGTTAAACACACACACACACACACACCCAAAACAACTTATTAGGATGTTGTAATTATTTAAATAGTCTCTTCTGAGAGACTCTCCTTAGGCATGCCAGATTTCTGTATTTTCTTTTTTCCTGAAATATATAATTTTCCAACTCTACCAGTCTGAGTTCTGCCCACAACAGGCATTAACTGAGCGCTTCCTGGTACCAGCAGTATGGTGGAGTGTGGGTTCTGGGTGATGAGCCATGGTGCTCAGGACAAACAGAAAGGCCAGCTCTCAAGTCAATAAATGATATGTGATTGAAGGATTGCATTGAGCTTCTTTGGAAGGGTTGTTTTGGTTCCCCGAAGGAGATGAGCCCTGAGTGTAACAAACATGAGGGGAAGATGTTTGCTTGTAGTGAACAGTGGGAGTTTCCAAATCCTGTCCACTCAGTTGTAAGGTATTGACCAGGTCATGAAGCCTCACTGAGAACAAAAGAAACTTCTTTGATCCCTTGCAATGTGCCAGTTTTATACAGATCATCTCATTTGATCCCATCATCCCATTTTATGAAATATGGAAACAGGTTATGTTACTTACCCCAGACATAGGGCAAAGACAGTCCTGTTCATTCACTCTTATTTTCTGAAATTGCCTTAAAAGGAAAAAAGATATAACACCAGCAGTTCCACTACCAGGGTTTATATTTCAGACTTTGCCTATGTAACTGCCATGATAGAAACAGAAGTATAAGTTTTTGTATAAACATGAAATAAATTGTGCCATTTATCACCTGATTTTTCCCTTAAAAATATCATCTCTTGCTATGTTAATAAGTGTATTATTATTTACATGATCACTTTTATGGCTACATGCTATTCCACTTTTCAGAAGATTTTATTTTGACTAACTCCTTGATGGGCATTTACTTAAGTTTTTTTTTTCTTTGCATCTTTGTTTTAATGTGACTTTCTCACAAGGTATACCCCAGAGTATAGCTTCTAAATGTCTTTTTTATTCAAAATGATTCCCAGACTTAATAAGCCTCATAGTAATGATGATCTAACACATTTATTATGTTTACTATGTTCTAGGCACAATTACTGGAGAAAGAAATGGTAACCCACTCCAGTATTCTTGCCTGGAAAAATCCCACGGACAGAGGAGCCTGGTGGGCTACAGTCCATGGGGTTGCAAAGAGTCAGGCACAACTTAGTGACCAAACAACAGCTAGGCACTATTATAAACAGTTTATGCAAAACTGCTTTAAGAAAAATTTAACAAAAACCCACCCTAACAACCACATAAGGTAGATACTATCTTCATTTTGCAGATAAGGAAACCAGAACAGAGAGGTTTGATGACTTGTCCAAGGTCACACCACTGGATGATAGTGGTGTGCATTAGTCACCCAGTCATGTCCAATTCTTTGTGACCCCATGGACTGTAGCCCACCAGGCTCCTCTGTCCGTGGGATTCTCCAAGCAAGAATACTGGAGTGGGGTTGCCATTCCCTTCTCTAGAGGACCTTCCCGACCCAGGGATGGAACCTGGGTCTCCCGCATTGCAGGCAGATCCTTTACTGGCTGAGCCACCAGGGAAGGCCGGGTGATAAGCAGAGTCAAAGCCTGCGTTTGTAACCATCACTCTGGTACTGCCTCTGGACACCAGCTCATTTCAAATGTTCAAGATTCTCACACCCAGTGTGTGAGAGAACAAACATCCAGGTGTGCGCTTTGCTTATTAGAAATAAAAGTGTGCCTCCTTTTGAAATGTGCCAGGCGTCACTATGGGGATTTTTCTTGATTTAAAATGTTTTGAAATTTTTCTTTTATTATATTTTGGCCACAAGGCATGTGTCATCCTAGGTTCCCCACCCAGGGATCGAACCCACGCTCCCTGCATTGGAAGCATGGAGTTTTTACCACTGGACTGCCAGGGAAGTGCCCACTATTGGGCTTTTAATGATTATATTTCTCCAGGATTCTGGGCTGCCCTGAAATAAAATAAAAGTGAGCTTAGTATTATGTAGAGTGACATAAAATCAGCAGCAGCTCTCCCGCCCCTGTGTCTGACCCTGGACAGAAACATGTGTGGACCGGGTTCAACTTCAGCCGGACTGTGCCCGCTCCACACCCCGCCGTCTGAGTGGGCAGGGTCTCCTGATGGGGCCCCCCAGTGCCACGTGGAGTCCCCCAATCTTGCCAGCCCCCGACTCTCCAGTTTCAGAAGCTCTCAGCTTCCCCAACCTGCACTTTATTATTCCCGGTCCTCTGGTTTGTCTTTCATCATCCCTTGCTCTTTGAACAAAGCCTTCTTTCTAGTGAAATTACTCCCTGCGCTGCTGGAAAGACCTGTGCCTTCTCAACTCCTCCCCTCTGGCCGCTAAATAAAAACTGAAAATCACCTGCATTTTGCTCATAACAGAGGAGAAATCCCTTCTCATAGTTGTACTGAAAATACATCTTAGTCACCAAAGGTATTTCACCGTGAATTCATTTCCTGGTCTCCCATCTCCTGCCTGCTGGCCATTTTCAGAAAAGTCCCAGGGAAAGAGGAAGTTTTGAAACTCCCTGGTCCTAACTGGTTAGTCCTCCTGGAGTTTCCAGGGGAGGGTCAGCACTGCAGTCGTTGCCCTTGCAGGGGTCAGCTGCCATAAATAGGATAAGTGGACCAGTGGTTGAAGAGGACCTGAATATTCAATTTCTTTGTCTGGGCTGTTTCTGTGATCAGTTTCCTACCTGGAAGAGCGAGACTGTTTCAGATACTATCTCATCTATCCATGGCAAGTCAGGCTCCATTCAGACAGCACAAGAGACTTAGGAGGGAAACCATTCAAGAAAAAATTTCTGGGACTTCCCTGGCAGTCCAGTAGTTAAGACTCTGCACTTCCAATGTTCGATCTCTGGTCGGGGAACTAGGATTCCACATGCCAGTGGTGCAGCCGAAAAAGAAATAAAAACAATGCAGTCTCCACTTAAAAAAAAAAAGACAAACCAGATTGCTTTGGTCTACACAATTATCAATTGTTGTATTGGTCATTTCTTTATCAAATTGAGTGATGTTTTTAGCATGGTACCTGGCCAGCCAGACTGGCTTCATTTTTAATCTGTTGTTCCTTTTCAGAGTCTTTGGCTATTGTCCAGTGAGAATTACATCTTCGCTTGTGGAAGCTCACATCTTTCTCTTCTTGGACCACTTAAACCCTGCCTTCGTAAAGTCTGGGGGTTGCATGTAGTGTTGCTTACTTTTCTCCCTAAAGTTATAATTTGGCTTTCCCCCCATCTTTCTGTCATTTTCCACTGCAGCAACCATTTCCTTCTTGTTGTCCAGAAGTAGGTCAAGGTAAGAAAGTCCCCTTTCTGCCTCTTCAGCCTTCTTATTAACGAGGCAAACAAAAATCTTGTTAGATGCTCACTTGATAGGAAATGGAATCTCCCATCACTGTCCACAGTCAGAATTACCTTTGAGCTTCCAAGTTAAGGTTGCAGAATGTTGGTGTCAGGTAAACCGGTACTCAGAAGCTGCTCTGTCAGTTGCTAGGCAGGTGGTTCGACTCAGGAATCAGCTGGGATTCTGTTCTCTCCTTCATCTTCACATATGGTCCAGCATCTGCTGCCTCTCATGGTCCTGGTGCCTCTTGGGTTGGCTGTTTCCACTCCCTCCCTGTTTTTCCTGCCTTTGACAACACTCATCTTTTCACACTCTGAGCTCTAGAATCTGACCTTTTACTTCTCCTCCCCTACGACATCCCACATCGTACCGTAGCTGCATATTTACTTGTCTGCCTTCAAACTCTACGTTCTGTGAGAACAGAAACCTGATTTTTCTGACTAACTGTTGTATTCCAAATTCCTCCCACAAACAGCCTGTGCCATTGATGGGAGAATGAATGAGTGAATCCATGAATGAATGAAGGACTTGCTGGGTTACTTGGGCAACTACTTCCAGACTTCCCTTCCATATACTTTCCTGCTGCATTTCACTCTAAACTGAAATCCTGTTCATAACTTTCCTCTCCTGCTTAGGAGTCCACAGCATCCCCTCCCTGCTTTCTCCATCAGGTCTAAATAATTAGGTTGTTTTCTAGGGTTTCTGATCATTTGGCCCCATTTGATCCCCTGTACGAGGTACCTGGTAGGTATGACGGGTAATCCCCAATACCAGATACCTGGTGGATATGATGGATGAGCACTCCAAGTAGATACTAGAGCCTGCTGAGACCACCCAGAGATTTCTGGACAAACTCAGCAGATTTGAGCCCTCATCCCTGTTAATTGCTATGGGAGTCAAGGCTGGTCATAGGTCCTGCCTTGGACCAACATCAGAGAGCTGTCCTTTCAGGAGGTTGGGGGGTCATGGGCTCTGCCGCCCGCCCAGGTTTTCCCATGTTTCTGGGAAGTCAGACTCGTCTGGAATGGATGTAACCATAGGGACTGGAACCTTCTTGTCTCTCTTAGGAGCCCCAGCCAAGATCAGTGCTTCTCAGCCTTTGATGTGCATGTGAATCACAAGGAAATGATCTTGAAATGCAGACTCTCAGTCTGTAGGTGTTGGGGGCGGACGGGCTGGGGCTTCGTGTTTCTAACAAATTCCCAGATAATATCGAGGCTGACGCTGCCTGTTTGTGGACCACACTTTGAGTAACAAGTGAAGACACCTCCTGTCCACTGAGCTTGAGAGACTGAAGTGTCTCCAGGGAGACTTCCCCCAAGCACACCATCACGCATTTCAGCATCTCCTCAAAGAATCTGGCTAAGTCTGTCTTTAACTCTTTTCCCAACAGCATATCTAAGTTTTGCAACCACAAACACCAGCCAGGACAGTATATCTTCCATGCAGAAAATGATGATGCCCAGTTCACAAAAGAGTTCACACTGAATATAAGAAGTAAGTGAAGAGGGTGGGATGAATGGAGAGAGTAGCATGGAGACATATATTACCGTATTAAATTAGACAGCCAGGGGGATTTGCTGTATAAGGCAGGGAGCGCAAACCGGGGCTCTGTGATACCTACAGGGGTGGGAAGGGGTGGGAGGCGCAAGGAGGTTCCAGAGGGAGGGACGCACTTATACCTATGGCTGATTCATGCTGATGTATGGCAGAGACCGACACAATATTGTGAAGTAATTATCCTCCAGTTAAAAATAAATAAATCGAAATGTAACAAAACAAAACAAAACAGAAGTGAAGTCGTCAAGAAATTTTATTTCATTCTTGTGACTCTTTAATGATGCATTAACTCGGACCAGAAAGAGCTAAGCAATGGCTTCGGGAAGGAGTGTGATGAAACTGTTTTGACCTGTGGAAGTGTTCTGAAATTGTACTTTTCATATCTCCTGGCTCTGCTGATACACAGACCTCTTTCTGCGCTCATCCTTTTAAGTTAAGATGCTGAGTCCAGGTCCTCTCTGAAGGTGCTTTAGTGTATCACTTTACTGGTTTTAGTACTTTGAAAGATCATGTTAAGAAAAGGCCAAAAGTCATACTACCTGCCATTTAGTTGTTTTAATAATTTTTGTTTATTTGGTCTATGAAAAGAGGCGAGTACCTTTTGTTGGACTTTTTCTGCAGATGCTTCTCCTGAAGCTAGTACTCATTTTAGGGTGAGCAAGTAGATAGAGTCTACACCTGCAGCCTCTCCAGGAAGGGTCTAGTGATGGACAGGGGGTGCTCCCCAGAGAGGTGGTAGGGCTGCCTGCATGGAAGGTGACATGACAAGGGGAAAGGACCCCCCTCTCTGAGTCCTGCCTGAGACACCTTCTGAGAAGCACAACTGCTTACAGTGAAAGGGCAGCCTATATAAAGCTGACTTTGAAACCCTTTCTGAAAAGTGCATTACTCCACGAGCCTGTCTGTCCTCTTGTTTTCTCCAGGGAAACCTCAAGTGCTGGCCGAGGCGTCTGCAAGCCAGGCTTCCTGCTCCTCTGATGGGTATCCGATACCATCTTGGATCTGGAAGAAGTGCTCAGACAAGTCCCCCAAGTAATGCGGACCTTGGCCTCTCTTGCGTTAGAAGAACATGAAACTCTGACATACTGACGCTTTCTCGTGAATTCAGTTTAAGAAGAAACGCTAGAGCATTTCAAATGCTTACCTTCCTAGTCGACCACAATTCTCAATGATCATAGATTGTTTCTGATAACGTATAATAGATGTGTCTCTTACAGACACCACTAGAGAAACACTCACTTCCAATCTGATGACAGCCACACCCCTCTGACTTCTCTGCCATTTCTTTTCAGCTGCACAGAAGAAATCACAGAAGGAATTTGGAATAAAAAGGCCAACAGGAAAGTATTTGGACAGTGGATATCGAGCAGCACGCTGAACATGAGCGAGGCCGTCAAAGGGCTCCTGGTGAAGTGTTGTGCCTACAACGCCCTCGGCACGTCCTGTGAGACAATCCTTCTGAGCTCACCAGGTACACAGCAGTCGCTGTTGAAACAGCCACCTTCAGGAATTCCCCACTGGAAGTTAGGCCCTGTCTTTGGCTTTTATCTGGGTGTGTAGGTTCAGTGTGAGATGAGAAGGCTTTCTGAGTCAGGCAAGAATCCCTACTGAATATACATGTTCTGTAATTTAAAGGCAGAGTGACTTCTACTGATGTTACTGTAACTCATGAATTCATTGTGGGTAGAACCCCAGACTCCTGGTATAGTGGGCATCTACCCCGACGACCGTGGTAGCTCAGTGGCAAGGAATCAGCCTGCCAGGCAGGAGGCTCAAGTTTGATCCCTGGATCAGGAAGATCCCCTGGAGAAGGAAATGGCAACCTGGAGAATCCCATGGACAGAGGAGGCTTGTGGGTTACAGTCCCTGAGGTCGCTAAGAGTCGGACGCAACTTAGCAACTGAACAACAGCGACACAGAGATCCAGAGCTAGGGAGAGAGTTGAGTAATTTGGAGCCTCTGCCACTTTTCCTTTCAGTTCATCTCCTTATTTACCTTTTAGCCTGCTGTTTTATCATTTTTGGTTTGATATTTAGAGCCCTCTGAAATTAAGCAATTCTGAAACCTGGCCGCCTACACTAATGGTTTAGAATCACCAGCATCCCCAAACTAACTTCCCCACATTCATATGACAGCTTCATTGTGGGAACACAAGTTTCTTTTTTTTTTCAAATTGAGCTATAGTTGATTTATAATGTTCTGTTAGTCTTAGGTGTACAGCAAAGTGATGCAGGTTTTTTTTTTTTTTTTTTAGTGATGCAGTTTTATATGTGTCTTCTTTTTCATATTCTTTTCCGCTATAGTTTATTACAAAATATAGAATATGCTGATAGTTCCCTTTGCTGTACAGTGGGACTGTGGTGCTTGTCTACTTTATGTATAGTAGACAAACATTCTTGATTCAGTCACATGTGTGACTTTTCAGATTGTTTTCTATTATAGTTTATTACAAGATCTTAAATATAGTCCCCTGTGCTATATACTAGGACTGTATTGTTGATCTATTTTATATATGGTAGACAGACTTCTTTTTTTTTTTTAATCTGGCTTGACTATCCTGTGGGTTTAAATAGATGTAATCCTTAAAACCCCTAGTAAATGATTTTTTATTTTTTTTCCTGCAAGTAAATGATTTTTTAAATTGGGCTCAGAGGGACTTCCCTGGCCACCCAGTGGTTAAGACTCTGTGCATCAATGCAGGGGGCATGGGTTCCATCCCTGGTCATGGGATGGAAAAATTCCCAATGGGTTCAGAATCATCTAAAATTTTCTGGGAGGGAAGTGTCCTTCATATGAACATGGCCTGATTTTTCTGTGGGCTTCTGTGCGTAGAGGGCTTGTAAGCATCACAAATAACAGGCCCTCAGACAGGACATGAGAGGTTGTAGTGAGCCTGCACTCTCCGGATTCTCACCCACTGCTCCGGGATGCTCTTCCGTTGCAGGGCCCTTCCCTTCCATCCAGGACAACATCTCGTTCTATGCAACAATTGGCCTCTGTCTTCCCTTCATTGCTGTTTTAACCATGCTGATTTGTCACAAGTACAAAAAGGTAAAAGCAAAGGTTAAAAAAAAAGAAGCTGTGGCTGTGTCCCATATCTGAAGAACGCCCTGTGGCTAACAGACTCATTATTTCCTCTCGGAAGCAATTTCGGTACGAAAGCCAGCTGCAGATGGTGCAGGTGACCGGCTCTCTGGATAACGAGTACTTCTACATTGACTTCAGAGAATATGAGTATGACCTCAAATGGGAGTTTCCGAGAGAAAACTTGGAATTTGGTAAGAATCGGATGTTTCATCTGTTTCCTTCCTGTGGGAAAATCCTCAGCGAACGCTCACTCACTCACCACGTGTCTTGCAGGGAAGGTCCTCGGGTCGGGTGCTTTTGGAAAAGTGATGAATGCGACCGCCTACGGAATTAGTAAGACAGGGGTCTCCATCCAGGTCGCAGTCAAGATGCTGAAAGGTACAGAGACGCGCCGAGGGGGCGCCTGCCGCCGCCTCTTTTCCATCACGGTTATGGGTACTGCTTGCCCGGCTTCAAAGCTTAAAAGGGAGTGAGTTGGGGTTGGTGTCCACTAATTTATGAATATAAAATGCAAGTCCACCTCTTCTTCCTCTCTGTCTGCTTAGGTTTTTTTTCAGCGTTGGGGTTACCATTGCTACAGGCAGCTGTGTGTCTTACATGGTGACACGGACTCTTGGGTAGAAGAGGCAATCGGTGCCTTCTGTTATCACTCCCCACTCATTTCTCACCTGCCCTCCCCAGCATCCACCCTGATCATCACTCACTTAGCAAGAGCGCCCCCAGCTGGCTCTAAGTGATCAGTGACCCCCTCCCTCCACTGCCCCCATCATGAACCAAGTCTAATGGGCACTTTTCTGTCCTCACATTACTTGAATTTTCAGCACAAGTTGGCACGATCGATAGTTCCCTCCACCTTTTTTGTGCTTGCTTCCTTCAGTTTCCATGGCGCCATATCTTTCTGGTTTCCTCCCACCCTCTGACTGCTGCACTGTCCTTGGCTGCTCCCTCATCGGCTCATCCATATCTCACGTGAAGTTCTCGAAGGCTTGCTCCGGGTCCCGCTTTCCTCTCCACTCCTCACACTCAAGGGCTGTCTCAGCTCGCCCATGACCTCATCCCGTGTACGAATGGTTCTCACGATTGCGTCTCCCTGCTAAGCTTCAGGTTATGTCCAAATGCCTGAATGTCTCCTGCTGCTGCTGCTAAGTCGCGTCAGTTGTGTCCAACTCTGTGCGACCCCATAGACGGCAGCCCACTAGGCTCCGCTGTCCCTGGGATTCTCCAGGCAAGAACAGTGGAGTGGGTTGCCATTTCCTTCTCCAATGCATGAAAGTGAAAAATGAAAGTGAAGTCGCTCAGTCATGTCCAACTCTTCGCAACCCCATGGACTGCAGCCCACCAGGCTCCTCCGTCCATAGAATTTTCCAGACAAGAGTACTGGAGTTCCAGGGTCCCTCAAAGACAGTCTATCCAACGTGGACTCCTCCAACTCTGGCCCTTGGTTGATACTCCCTCTCTCACCGATTAGTTATAAGTACCAATGACTGGCCATGGGCCACCCAGTTGGGCCAACCAGGAACCTAGGACTGGCTCATCTTAGAAACCATCCTCATTGTAACTGTTCCTATCAGTCTTCTGCAGGTGCCTCTTCAGTCCATCCTCTTTTCTCTTAACCCCTGTTACTGCCTGTCTCTTCTAAGTGGATGCACCAGCCTTCTAAGAAGCTACTCTATGTACACTCTTACCTCCTTCTGGATTCTGAAGCCCAAGTGATACTTCTGAAATGCAAAGCTGATCACATACTTTTCCTACTTAACCTTCCCAGTTGCTTTCATCTTGAACAGTCCACACAGCCCAGCACGATGTGGCTGCAGCTCTCCTCTGCCCTCTCACTCCAGCACGGCACACGGCCAGCTCTCAGTTCCTCTGGAGTGCCGAGCTCTTCCCGCCTCAGGGCCTTTGCACATCCATCCTTCCCCTTCCCCTTTCACGGCATCACCGCCTGCTCCTCCCGTAGATCTCAGCTCAGATACCACTTCCTCTGGGAAGCCATCTCTCACGCCCCAGATGAGCTCAAGTTCCTTGCTAGATGCTGTAGCCCAGCTCCCTGTGGGCTTCCCCCCCACATAAAATTGATCACAACTATAATTACATGGTTGTTTATTTAACTAGTGTGTTAGCTGCCCCAGTAGCCTGCAAGCCTCATAAGGGCAGATCTGTATATTTTGGATGCTGTCCTCTTTCTCTTTCTTTTTCTTTTTTAAAATTTCATTGGAGTATAGTTGCTTTGAGGTTTCCCAGGGGTAAAAAGTCCATCTGCCAATGCAGGAGACGCAAGAGACATGGGTTTGATCCCTGGGTCAGGAAGAGCCCCTGGAGTAGGAAATGGCAACCTTCTCCAGTATTCTTACCTGGAGAATTTCATGGACAGAAGAAGCTGGTGGGCTACAGTCCATGAGGTCGCAAAAGAGTCAGCCACAACTGGGCACACACACACGTAGCTGCTTTGCCATGTTGTGTTAGCTTCTGCTGCACGGCATAGTGAGTCAGTTACATGTATACATCTATTTCCTCTTTTTTGGATTTCCTTCCCATTTAGGTCACCACAGAGCATTTTGTCGAGTTCCCTGTGCTCTATAGTAGGCTCTCATTAGTTATCTATTTCATACATAGTATCAACAGTGTATATATTTCAATCCCAATCTCTCAGTTCATCCTACTCCGCCACCCCCTTGGTATCTATAAGTTTGTTCTCTGTGTCTGCTTTGCAAATAAATTCACCTGTACCGTTTTGCTAGGTTTCACATATAAGTGATCTTGTATGATATTTGTTTTTCTCTTTGTGACTTACTTTACTGTTTGACTGTCTCTAGGTTTATCCGTGTCTCTGCAAATGATGCTGTCTCGTGCCTTTTTATGGCCGAGTAATATTCCATTGTACCTCATCTTCTTTATCCATTCCTCTGTTGATGGACATTTAGGTTGCTTCCATGTGGTCCTCTTTCTTGATCTTGGCCCATCCAGTGACTTCAGGACTTCTTCCTCATCTTTCCCACTCTGAGTTCCCTTGGTTAACTCCTGTTTTCCCTCAGGTCTCAGCATAAAACATTTAGTATCCCCTTCCCCACTCTCCCCAAGTCTGGGTTAGGTGTCCCTCTTGTGTAGGACAGCATCCTACATTCATTTTCCATGTGGCATTTATTTTTTATTCTTATTGAAGTGTAATTGATTTATAATGTTGTATTAGTTTCTGCTATATGGCAAAGTGACTCAGTTATACGTATGTATACATTATTTTTTGTATTTTTTTCCATGATGGTTTATCACAGGATATTGAATTTAGTTCCCTGTGCTATACAGGGAACTTACCCTTGTTGCTTATCCTTGTTGCTTATCCATCCTATAGATGATCATCTGCATCCGCTAACCTCAAATTCCCAATCCCCACCTCCCCCCATGCCCCTCCCCTTGGCAACCACACGTCTGTTCTTTACGTCTGTGAGTCCACTTCTGTTTCACAGATAGATTCGCTTGTGTCGTGTGGCATTTATGACACCATATTGTAGTTTACTTACTTGTCTCCCCTTTCCAGGAGGCTGTAAGCTCCAGGAAGACAGGGGCTGTGTCTTCCTACTATTTATTCCCCCCCCCGCCCCCGCCCCAGGTTCCAGTACATTGCCTGCTACCCAGTAGGCATTCAATAAATACTTGTTGAATGAATGAATGAAAGTCAGGGAGTGGTACATGAAAGTGCTTTGAAAAAGTTAGGGTTATTGTAAAGTATGTCCTTTGGGTCATGAGGAACAAGACATGGACACCTGAAAGGCACGAATCCCTGTGCAAAGTGAGGCAGTGGGAGATGTGACACAGAGTGGGTCCCGACCCACTCAGAGACGGATATCACTCCTAGGCCAAGAGGTTGGAAATCTGGATGCTCCTGAGAGCTCACACAAGTCAAAATAGATGTACTGAAGCTCTGGAAAAGCCTCGTGAAAGCTAGCATCTTCCAGCAGGAAACAATGACACGCTGAAGTAGCCAATCAAATCTCCATTGAATGTAAGAAATGGAGGAGTGGGTGCCTGGAGGGCAAGATCCTGAGGTCCTGCCCTGGCCTCTAGGGCTCCAACACCCTCCTGGCAGTGGCAGGTGTCCTGACTACCTGCGCACATTGGCCTCGATGACAGGAGACCTTTAAATTCACCAATAAGTACCTCCATGCCACATTTCTAAGCAAGATGCCAAGTAAAATTTGCTAAACCATCTAGCCTTACTCCAGGGGAAGTAGTAGATAAATTCTAGCCTAGTCAGCAGTGATCGTCCCATTATCAATTAAGGAGTTTCTTGAGAACTTGGTCAGTGAGAATTGGTCCTCTTTGACCTTCTTACCAAGCTTCCCAGGTGGTTCAGCAGTAAAGACTCTGCCTGCCAATGCAGGAGACATGGGTTGGTGGGTTCAATCCCTGGGTGGGAAAGACCCCCAAAGAAGGAAATGGCAACACACTCCAATATTCTTGGCTGGAAAATCCCATGGACAGAGTAACCTGGAGGGCTACAGTCCATAGGGTCACAAAGAGTCAAAGCCAACTTAGCAACTGAGCACTCAGGCAGCATGCACAGCCTCCTAACCACTGGATTCCTGACAAATTTAAGGTTCTAAATCTGAGGATCACAGGTTGGAACCCTCACTAACATTCCCATCTTGTCACTCTATGACTTCAACAAACCAAAAGTAAAAAAAAAAAAAGCATGCTTCTCCCTTCAGCATATCCATTAACTTCTACTGTGGAGGAAAGTCATGTGTTATTATTTTTTTCTTTTCTTTTTTAAGGGTCAATTCTAAAGATTTTTATGTTGCAGGTAGAGGAAAGTCCAGTAGAAAAGCACATTATTTGATTCAACTTTCATGCTGCAATCTTTGACATTCTGCCTTAAAACATAGTGTATTGCTATTCAAAATGTATGTATTATTGAATGTATTTTAAAACTTTTATGCAAATCGTCTCTGAACAGAGGAAGATTTTAATTTATCAAATAATGTAAAGTACCTATTTTACTTCCGTTTTTCATTTGTGATGCCCTGCCATTGACAGAAAAAGCAGACAGCTCGGAGAGAGAGGCTCTCATGTCTGAACTCAAAATGATGACCCACCTGGGCAGCCATGAGAATATCGTGAATTTGCTGGGGGCGTGCACCCTGTCAGGTAACCAGTTCCCACTCAGATCACCTAGAAGAAGACATTTTAGCCTGGAGACAAAGATGATCTTTGTTCTCCTGTTTCTCTCCTTTTGGTAGTCACAGTGTGGGCCCCCAAACCCAAGTGGGATTAGACATAACAGTGCTTCAGGGTTAGATGCATTAGTGTAGGCAATGCCCGTCTTCACTTGGAAATGTCATGGAATTCTAAGTTACTTAAAAGGAATTCCCTGGCTATCCAGTGATTAGGGGGCTTCCCTGGTGGCTCAGCGGTAAAGAATCCGCCTGCAGTGTAGGAGACGCCGGTTCTGTCCCTGGGTCAAGAAGATCCCCTGGAGCAGGAAATGGCAACCCACTCCTGTATTCCTGCCTGGAGAATCCCATGGACAGAGGAGCCTGGTGGGCTGCAGTCCATGGGGTTGCAAAGAGTCGGACATGACTTAGGCACTGAACCACCACCACCACCAGTAGTTAGGATGTGGCATTTTCACTGCTGTGTCCAGGGTTCAATTCCTGGTCAGGGAACTAAGACCCTGCAAGCCTCGTGGTGTGACATGGCAAAAAAGTTAAATTAAAAAAAAATAATAATAACGACGTTGCAAGCACATTTTATGTGTCTCTCTCTACCTGCCCAGGAGGTGCTTCTCCCTGGCTATAGAGCTTGGCCACTGCCCCAGCTGGTCTGTTTCAAATAAGGTGCAGCCACGGAGGGCCTTCAAACTCTATTGTCCCAGAATCCAGTGGAGCCCATGCTCTGATCCTCTCCCTTCTGCCTGGAAGTGCCCGAACCCTGTGCCCAAGCGTCACTCCTTTGGGGTCAGCCAGCCAGAAATGAGGAGAAAGTGGATTCAAGAGGTGTGTGTGTGCTAAGTCGCTTTAGTCAGGTCTGACTCTTTGCAATCCCATGCGCTGCAGCCTGCCAGGCTCCTCTGTCCATGGGATCTCCAGGCAAGAATACTGGAGTGGGTTGCTGTGCCCTCCTGGGATCTTCCTGACCCAGGGATCAAACCCGCATCTCTTGCTGTCTCCTGCATTGGCAGGCAGATTCTTTACCACTAGCAGCACCTCGAAAGCCCTTTAAGAGGTGACTAGGGATATATTTCTCCCTCCTCAGGCAAACCACAAATCAGCATATATTTACCAAGTGGTCCCAGTACAGGCAGCATATTATTATCCATTGTAAACTGGGGAATCCCGGGGGCCAGTGGTTGTTGGCTGAGCCAAAGTGAAAGGCAAGAAGAGACAGCTTTCCAAAGAGTCTGGACAAAAAACTGAAATTGACTTTAAAGTCCAAGATGAGATAGGTTCAGAGAGAATTGTCCTCCCACCTCTCCCCACCAAAGTTCCCATAGAGTGGGGTTTCTGCTACATAGATGTCTGAAAAAAACTATTCAGTGTCTGTATACCTGGAATTAAAACCATCACTATTTCAGGACCAATTTACTTGATTTTTGAATACTGTTGCTACGGTGACCTTCTCAACTATCTAAGAAGTAAAAGAGAAAAATTTCACAGGACGTGGACAGAGATTTTCAAGGAACATAATTTCAGTTTTTATCCCACTTTCCAATCACACCCTAATTCCAGGTAAGAGACTTGTCACAGTTTATAATAACACATTGCAGAGCAGACAAAGTATGATGGTTAAATGCATTCCACCAGCCAGTTTCTAAGGACCACTGTCCAGCACACTGTGGTCTGTGTGTTTTAAGACCTAGGAAGATCATTTATCTTTGCCATAGTTTCCCTGCTGACTTGAACAATGAGGTTTTCCCTGTCCTGCAGTACAGGCACTGTAGCTGAACGGGTGATTTCAGCCCACTTGTACCTAACTGCATCCTAGACATAGGACCTTTTAGGAAAGGTGCATGATTCAATCTGTCAGGCCTCCTGGTTGACACATGGGTATTGGTAGGAAGAAAGAGCGCCTTTCCCAAAGCCCCTGTTATATTCCTAGAAAGTAGTGTGGGTCCTGGGAGTATTGCACAAAAGAGCTTTATATTCACAAAATGGATTTTGAAAAATTAGGATGCATTGATTGGCATAACGATGGGAGTAAAATAAAGTCGGGGTGATGTTCGTCTCTGTGCTGTGCCATCCGTGGACTCCTAAGTGGTTCGTGGTCCCCACAGGCTGTAGGTTTGGCGGAATGCTCGTCCTCAACCTTGGACATTTCTTGCTGATGACTAGAACATAGTAGCTCAGTAACAGCCTTCTCAGAGTGAATTTACAGGTGCTCTGATAGAATGGTCCTCAATCCCTAGTGCATTTCTATTTCCTTCCTACATGAAAGCTGTCCCTTTTTCTAGAGGTGGATTTGTTAGAGACTTTTAACTTTATGGGGGGATGTATGGAGGGTGCATTTGAGAGTCCTTGTTTTCTTGGCATGTATGTTCCAGCACATGCCTCTGGCCTTCTAGTGCTGAGACAGACTAACATCCTGAAGCCGGGGACCCCATGGAGACCCCAGGCATGTCCTTGTGCAGCTGCCCTTAACAATTCACACCAGTCTTCCGTTTCGTGCTCGTTTCTCAGTTCATATTCTCAGACCAAGAGGATTCTGTAATGTCATCTGTGTTTTAGAACAGAGTCGTGTGTGACCAGCACTCCTTGGTTAGTGACAACTGTGTTGATCAACTTAGCACCTTCGATTCATTCCAGTCACTGGATATTAAAAACACGAAGCAATTACTTTTGGAATATTTGTGGTCTGAAATCATTAAGCCATTTTGTAAAGATACGGACATTGTAACTAGAGTAAACTCTTATGCTAGAAAAAATGGAATCATTGTGTTTCATGCATACAAAATTCCTCAGTGAAGAGTTTTACTTTAAACATAAAAGAGATTCTCAGTGTTACTACTTGTTAATTTCACAGGAAAAGGAAATGAGCTTTACAAAGGCCAACTTGGGGAAAAAAAAAAGATGATGAAACACTTAAAGTTCTCTATAGAAGATTTGCATGACATGGACTTTTATAGGGAAAGTCACACTCCTTATTAGCTTCGTGATTTCGGCAAATCATATTTATCTCATCCAGCCTAATTTCTCTTTGATGAAATGTGACTTTGACACCCAGCTTGTAGGCTTGTGGGAAGAACTGAGTGAGGTCATCTTTGAACCAGAAGATTCCAAACAGAGAATGGGAATCACTCTTAACCTAGTTTGATGGACAAGCTCAATTACACAGATGTTTTTAATGTCCACACACAAGAAAAGGATAAGTTGATGCTATGCTTTTAATTTAAAACCCCATTTGTAATTGGAATTCATTTCTTTGATGAATTGTATATTTTAAAATAAAATCTCTACTCAGAAGAACATAAATAATGATATAACTTTTCTTTTCTTAAATAGTATGCCGGGTTCAAGAGACGTTCAAATACACCCGGACTCAGATCCTATCTCAGGGTTCAATGGGAATTCATTTCAGTCTGAAGGTAATATTTTATTCTAAACAGCGCTTCCAAATAGAAACAGATGCAAAAGTTCTGTGTTTACTATTATATTTTTTAAAGGTGCGTAAACGCAAAAGCATGCTTTTCTTTGCTAATATCATCTAAAGACTTCATTAATGCATATTTGCCTTAAAGGTAGTGAAAAACCGTCAATGTATGTATTATGAATTTTATGTCAGTGTTTCAACTAATAAACATGAAGCGCTGTTTCATTTGATCAGTCAGGTTATTCTTTTTAAAAGTCATAAGTTAAAAAAAAAGTCATAAATTAATTACAGCCACTTATTACCTAGTAAGTGGAAGCAATGATGAGCTCTGGAGTCAGATGGAAGTCGGGTTAACCCCCAGCTTCCCCTACTTTGAACAGCTGAGCCATAGTTATCTCATTTATAAAAGGGAGCTAATCAAACTTTCCTCATTGGACTCTTAGAAGGATTGACTGGAAGAACATTAAACACACAAACAATTCATAATATGTGGTAGGTAATTGGTCATTCTTTTCCCAATGTGGCAAAACTACCTAGTGCAAAAGAAGGGCATCTAGGACTTCCCTGGCGGCCCAGAGGTTAAGACTTTGTGCTTCCAATGCAGGGGGCCTGAGTTCGATCCCTGATCAGAGAACTAAGATCCCCTAAGCCATGTGGCACGGCCAAAAAAAAAAAAAAAGAAGAGCATCTGAGACCTCTGATTCATCACCCAAGAGCTGGAGAATTCACTCCTCTAATCAAAGAGACTCTTTAGGTGGCTCTGCCCAGGCAGCATGTATGCGGATGCGTGCATGCCCAGTCGTGTCCGACTCTTTGCGACCCCATGGATTCTAGCCCCCAAGGCTCTTCTGTCCTCGGAATTATCCTGCCAAGAATACTGGAATGGGTTGCCACTTCATCTTCCAGGGGATCTGGAAGTCCCAGATGCTTTTCTTTTGCACTAGGTATTTTTGCCACATTGGGAAAAGAAAGACCAATTATCTACTACATTTTGCGAACTGTTTGTGCACTTAATGTTCTTCCAGTCAATCTTTCTAAGAGTCCAATGAGGAAAGTTTGATTAGCCTCCTTTTACACATGAGAAAATTGTGGCTCAGCTGTTCAAAGTCATTCAGCCAAAAAGTGGGGATCAAACCGATGTCTCCTGTATTGGCAGGAGGATTCTTTACCACTGAGCTGCCTGGGAAGCCTCCTAGGTTTCACAGTACTCTGCATAAATAGGTTAACCCTGGTGCCACCAGAAAGATGATGTAACAGCTCCCTTTGTACATGAGGTGCTCACAGAGATTTATAAAGTAACTTATTTTTTAAGTATGGCTGATGTACAATATTATATAAGTTACAATATGGTGCTTCACAATTTTTAAAGGTTCTGCTCCGTTTATATTCATTATAGAATATCAGCTATATTTCTTGTGTTGTGCAATTTATCCTTGTAGCTTATTTTATACATAATAGTTTGTAATTCTAAATCCCCTCCCCCTATCATGCCCTTCCCCTCTTCCATAAGGCAGCTTCTTTGCATTTTGGCAAAAATGAGGACCAGTTCTATTTTACAGATGAAATTGAATACGAAAACCAAAAAAGGCTGGAGGAAGAAGAAGACCTGAATGTACTGACCTTTGAAGATCTCCTTTGCTTTGCATATCAAGTGGCCAAAGGAATGGAATTTCTGGAATTTAAGTCGGTAAGCTCCTTTTTAAAGGCAAGACTCACAACAACAACAAAAAGATAATTTGGAAGAAGAGGTGCTGGTTGGTTGTTTTTTCTTTTTTCCTTGTTCATTTGACTTGCAGCCCTTCAAGTCGGTCTTTCCCTCCTGTTCACTGTTGGAGTCACCTAGATGTTACGGAGCTCTTGGCTAATTGTAGTATAAAGGTCCGGGATCCCTTATTCCATGAAGGCTATCCTAGCCCTCTCAGGCTGCCCAAAGTCCCCGAAACTTCCAGACAGGAGGTCCTCAGGAATCCCACCTCAATGCCACGTATAGTGGTGGCCAAGGCAGTCACTTCAGGTTGTTCAGCCTGTGTCCTGCATTTGACCCAGGGGATGAGTGGAGGTTCAGATCCTGGGTGCCTTGTTGGCCAGGCCGGCCACCCTGGCCACCTGTGTCTGCTATGAGAGCCTGCTAATCCCCGATCCACTGGGGCTGCTACACAGACACCTCAGAGCCTCCTCATTCCAGGGACTCTACCCTAATTTTGCATTCTTTCTAAAATAGTCTTTCAGCCCTGCCCGTTCTCTGACACATCAAATGTCTGCTGCCTGTAAGCCGACTTCAGCCCCATGTCTGGCTACTTCCTCTCCTGTTTTCTTATCTTCTTACTTTCTCTTTATTTCCCCAACTTCTTCCTCCCCCACTACCTTTTCCTTTTGTGTCTTCTAGTCCTCCCTCCCTCTCCTCCATGCCCCTTTGCACTCTCCTCTTTTCTCCCTGAATTTGAAGAGAATAATTTCAAGTTGGTTTTTTTTTTCTTTCTTTAATTGCTGTCTCAGGGACTTCCCTGGTTGTCCAGTGGTTAAGACTCCATACTTCCACCACAGGGGATTCAGGTTCGATCCCTGGTCGCGGAACTAATCCCACTTGCCAGGTGGAGTGGCCAAAAAATTTAATAAATAAATAAACAAAAATTTAAAAAATGTGCTATCTCTAATATAATGTATTACATCAACTATATCTCAGGTTTAAGAAAAAGATGAACCTGGAATGAATCAGTAGCTTTGAAGGACAGGAAAAATATCTATTCACAAGAACAACCAAACTATGAAACAGGTTGAGATAAACAAGACACGTGTAAGATCTACATGAAGAAACCTGTGAAACTTGGTTAAAGGGCAAAAAGGGAGACCTGAATAATGAGTTCTATTTTGTTCATAGAGGAGAGATTCTATGTTTAAAAGTCAGTTCTCTCCAGGTTAATTCTAGTTAACCCCAGTTAGAATCCCAAAGTTTTGGTGTTTTTGTTTTTGTTTTTTTCTTTTGTGGTTGTTGAAAGTATTGGGTTGGCTAAAAAGTTCGTTCGGGTTTTTTCCATAGGATGTGAAGGAAAAAGCCAAATGGACTTTTTGGCCAACTCAGTCAATATATGTTGACGTCTCTGCTTTGCTTTTCCAAAGCTGGACAGCACTGCTCTATAGTTAAAAGAATCGCAGTCTCCTAATCCTTCCCCAGCCCTCATCCCGGGATACACTCCTCTCCTGTCTTCACTGCGTGCTGCTGAGTCAGCCCCTGTCTCACCTCTGCATCTGCAATAGCGCTTTCACCAGTTTCTTTACACACGCTGATGGCATCTCCCTAGATGGTCCAGCCCGGTTGCTGGACCTGTTGTGGGACCCAGTTGCCTGTTGTTAGGTAAATATTCAAACCACTCACAACTGGAGGTCAAGGGGCACTGCCTTTTACCCCCCTGGGCTTGTTTTAATAAGAACGTTTGCAGAATCTCTGGCTTTTTGGAACTCTCTCCCCTGTTTTCCCTCCAGGCAGGTCCCTCTGGGTCACCCTGTCAGTCTCCCCTCGGTTTCCTCCCTACTTCTCTGGCTGCCCCTGGGTTTCCTCCGCGGCTCCGTGAATCCATCCTGCATTGCCTGCTGACTGGTGCCAGGCACCATGACAGGTGCCAAGATACAGAGGCAGGTCTTATCTCTGATGGGGAGAAAAAGAAAGCAGAGATGCTACTAGACTAAGATAAACACTATGTTCAGTTAAGGTCTGGGAACCCAGGGGAGAAACAGGCATGTCAGACCCAAGGGCAGAGAGGCCGTGCAGAAAAGATTTTCTGAACAGAGTTCATGCTGGGGCTGGCAGAGATTTTATTTTGTAATATTTTGGAGAAAAAAATTAATTTTTTAGTAGTTGTGGCTCCCAGGCTCTAGAGTACAGGCTCAGTAGTTGTGACACTGGGGCTTAGTTGCTCCCAGACCAGGGATCGAACCCGTGTCCCCTGCATTGGCAGGTGGATTCTTTTTTCTTTTTTTAATATTTTTTTATTTTACTTATTTGAGTCTGCCAGGTCTTGGTTGTGACAAGCGGCATCTTTGATGCAAGATATTTAGTTGCAGCATGTGGGATCTTAGTTCCCTGCCCACTGGGCCCCCTGCATCGGGAGCATGGAGTTTTAGCCACTGGACAGCCAGGAAAGTCCCGGTAGGCAGATTCTTTACCACTGAGCCATCAGGGAAGCCCAGGGCTGCTTTTCCCTCCACTTCAGTCAATCTTTCCAAACTTCTAGTATTTTTCCCGAATTTAAAAAAATATGTTATGCCATTTTATTGTCAAAGCTATTTTCCATTCCAGTCAGGAAAAACACACTTGTCCCTGCCAGAAGCTCCCACACCCCTCTGGGAGCCCAGCAGAGGCTGGGCTGCTGTGTCTCATTTACAGCCAGACACGCATCTGGTTTGCTTGACCTGCTTTCTCAGAACCCGGCCCCTTGGCCTCTGGGAATGTTCCCCAAGGAGCACCAGTGGCTGCAGCCACAACATCTGACTTGTGCAAACACTGTGTTACCCATTGTGATGATTGCTCAGGACTCAGTAAAGATAAGATGCCTCTATGATCTGCCCTTCCGTCATCTGTAACTCCTGTGGGCTTAGTTGCTCAGTCGTGTCCGACTCTTTGCCATCCCACGGACTGCAGTCCACTAGGCTTCCCTGTCCATGGGATTCTCCAGGCAAGAATACTGGAGTGGGTTGCCATTTCCTCCTCCAAGCTATCTTCCCAGCCCAGGAATCGAACCCACATCTCCTGCAGCTCTTGCATTGCAGGCAGATTCTTTACCATCTAAGCTAGATGGGAAGCCCTTTGTAACTCCTACTGAACTTGAAACGATAGGTGAGATTGTCTTCTGTGATAACATACACCCTGGTAACTCACACTCCCATCTCTTTCTTTCTAGTGTGTTCACAGGGACCTGGCTGCCAGGAACGTCCTAGTGACCCACGGGAAAGTGGTGAAGATCGGCGACTTTGGGCTGGCTCGAGATATCATGAGTGATTCCAACTATGTCATCAGGGGGAATGTGAGACTCCTGTTTCTCGTGTAGTTTTATCCTGTTTTGGGGGGAGTTTTATTTTATTTAATATCATTTTATTCTTTTTTATTGAAGTATAGTAGAATTATAATGTTGTTACTGCTGTAGAGAAAAGTGACTCAGTTATGCATATATTTGTATATATACATGTTCTTTTTCATGTTATTTTCCATCATGGTTTATCACAAGTATAGTTCCCTGTGCTCTACATTTTGTGCTTTGTCATTGCTAATCTAAATATCTGCACTCACAGTAGTGCATTTGTGATTTATGATAATTTCAGAAAACTTCCTCCCAGCAGTCTACTTCCTTATGCTTCGAAGGTTTTTCTGCAGCATCAGGGATTAGTCCATCTATAACAAAAGTTGAACAAAATAGCATCACACCTATCAATTAGGGCCTTGAGTGCAGTCCACACTTAAAAAAAAAAACTTGTTACTTGTACTCATTTCATTTCCTTTAGCTATAAAGTGACTACTGTGTTATACTTTCGATCATGGGAATAGGTAATCATTACAAGACAGCATTTACAAAATACAACATATAAATTAAACATTAAATATACATTTTCAAAAGGCACAGTATTTAAATCAAATGTTAGTTGCCAGATATTTATCATCCAATTACTGTTATGCAAGGAGACCTAAAACATCACTGATGTTTGCATTTGTGTGCTCACTCGTGTCTGTTTTTGCAACCCCCGTGAACTGAGGCCCACCAGGCTCTTCTGTCCATGGGATTTTCCAGGCAAGGATACTGGAGTGGGTTCCCATTTCCTCTTCCAGGGTATCTTCCCAACCCAGGGATTGAACCCTCAGGCAGTTCAATTCTCCTGCAGGCAGGTTCTTTACCACCGACTCACCTGGGAAGCCAAAACATCACTGAATCTCCTCATTAAAAAAAAACTGAGGACAGGTGTGTTACTTATAAGAGAACTCCTAAAAGTAGTAGATGATAAAATTGTGTATAGCTGAACAAATATGGTTTTTAAGAATTACAATACCTGGATTTCAGCTCCTCTTCTTTCTGGCTATTCACTTTTACGATTTCTATCTGCTTTATTGTCCCTACTCTTGAAGTAAGAATAATAACAACAAATGCAGGTATTGTATTTACCGGGTGCCAACTGCTATTATAAGTATTCCAGGTATTGACTCAGTCGTCAAAGTCCCCGTTTGTGGTTGAGGAAACGGGCACAGAAACATCACTTGCTGAATATTGCACAGCACACGCGTTAGATAGTGAATGGTCTAAGCCACACAGTCTGTGCACAACTTCAGTGATTCAGTGTTTCCCATGAGGATTACTCATCTACCTCATAGCACTGTGGGAAAAAACTAACAAAACCAACAGGAAAGAAAGGGTCTGTGGAGGGTAAACATACAATAAAGGTTACAAATCAAATTAAACTGTGTTCCCACTAGAATCAGACACTCAGCTGAGTTTGGATCTGTGCCTCCCTTATTGTAGCTGCAGTCATAAATAGGACGAACTAATGGCTTTGAAGTCCTCACCCTCCTAGCTGGTGGTTTCTTAAGCAGGAAAGCCAATTCCATTTGGAACCACAATTAATTCCTTTAATTAATCAAATGAACCAGACTGGCCAGCTTGATTCTCCCAGCTCATCCTTTTGAAAATAATTTAAAACAGAGTTTCTTTCTCGAGGTTTGATTTTACTTGGTAGATTAAATGTGCTCAGTGAAGGGTTCTCAACCCATGAAATGGAGAATGCTTCAAAACTCTCAGCCCCAGGAACCTATCTGTCCCTGTGCCTTGATTCTAATCTGAGGCTACACCCATTCGAAACTCCGCTTTCAAGCCACTGGGGGTGACTAAAGCCACAGACACCACCAGCGTCATTTCTGGAAGCCACGTCGTGTGCTCCCTCACCGCATTCCTGTGGATGAGATTTCCACTTAAATTCTTCCAAGAAATGCTTTGACAAAATATTCCACTAATTCACCAGCATCCTCTTACCTATGGGGAAGTGACTGGCTGCTCCTAACTGTGGGGAGGGAGGGAAGGGAGGCGGGGATGGGGGAGGGAAAGTCTAGTGTAAACTTACTAACGCCAAATGCAAGCTTGAGTTTTAAAGAAATAAAAAGTTTGTTTGTCTAAGGCTAATGTGTTACAGTATGAATTTGACAGTGAGAAATGTCCCCTTGGGAAATAAGATTTTCTCAGGGAAGCAGTAAGAGTGCCCTGAGGGAGAGAATAGACTTCCCTGGTCGCGCAGATGGTAAAGAATCCACCTGCAATACCAGAGATGTAGGTTCGATCCCTGGGTCGGGAAGATCCCCTGGAGGCATGCATGGCAAAACCCATTCCAGTATTCTTGCCTGGAGAGTCCCATGGACAGAAGAGCCTGGCGGGTTACCGTCCATGGGGCTGCAGAGAGTCAGACAGGCCGGAGCAACTAACACTAGGGAGAAAAAAAGGCGATCATCTCACTAACTGGAGGAAAGAAGGGATGTTTATTCGTGGAAAATTCACCATCAACCTCTGTTTGGGTTTTATGCAGGCCCGTCTGCCTGTGAAGTGGATGGCCCCTGAAAGCTTGTTTGAGGGCATCTACACAATTAAGAGCGATGTCTGGTCATACGGAATATTACTCTGGGAAATATTCTCGCTTGGTAAGACTTGCAGTTCCCTGGGCTTCTGCATTCTGTGTGCTCTGCACCCCTCCCCCACTCCTATTTCACAGGGTGGACGAAACGCCCCTTCCCAGAGCTCCCCCAGTCTTACTTCTGTTGCAGCCTGAGCCCCTTTATGTTTATTCGATGGTGTCTGTCTGTCTGTCCTATAACCTGCTCTCAAGCAGGAACATGGCTTCTGCCAGGAGCCCGGCACCTCGCGGTGCTGGTCCAGGAATTGAGGATCCAAGTGTTCGCTAACTGAATAAGTGATAAAGAAATGAAGGGTGAGCGGATAGTCATACGCCCTCCTGTTTTTCCAGGTGTCAATCCTTACCCCGGGATTCCGGCTGATGCTAACTTCTATAAACTCATCCAGAGTGGTTTCAAGATGGACCAGCCGTTTTATGCCACGGAAGAAATGTAAGTACAGGATGAACTGAAAAGTGGCTGAAATCATAAATGTACCGTTTGTCTAGTTCCCAACACACGAGAAAAAAGTAAAACTCCTTAGCATGAAGTTCCCATGGCTTCTCTTAAGAAAAGAAAAAGAAAAGAAAAAGAAATTCTTCCTTTTGGTTTCAGGAATTTCTGAACACAACTGAACCTTTTTCTGGGTTTCAGTTTTTACTCGAAGGACCCTTCTCCTGAATTCTGGTCCACATTGTATTTGTCCAAAGGCATCATCTAATTTGTCCTTTCTGATATGAATTCTAAGTCTAGGGCAGTACTTGCCTCAGGACAAACATGCCATAAATAAGTCACTCCACAGTAATAAATGGTGCTTTGTTAAGTGGAAAGTCACCCATTTTGCTTCATTCAGATTTCCTGTCTTGCTCCTATTCTGTTGTCTTTGCAGATACTTTATAATGCAATCCTGCTGGGCTTTTGACTCCAGGAAACGACCATCCTTCCCTAACCTGACTTCATTTTTAGGGTGTCAGCTGGCAGATGCAGAAGCAGCGGTAGGTAGCAGTACAGTATTTCATAAAACATCCTTAGGAAGGAAAGAACTCCATCACTCAGAACTCTCATGGCTGATTCGCTAAGCACTATATTTAGTTACCAAGTTGCCTTCCTCATCACAATTGGTCTTGATCACTCCTTAAAAGTTATATGGGGTTAGATATACTTACAGACAAGTGTTTTAAGGGGGAAAAATTTTAAAAATGCTTTTCCTGAAAATTTCAATCAATTGATTAAGAAGTTAAATGCCTTTAAGTGACCAGTGCAGAGGACAAAACCAGAAAATAAGATGTAATCCCTATCTCCAGAAGGCACTGAGTTTTCCTAACTCAACAGCAAGGCTTCATATGGAATAATTGTACAACTCAATCAGGTAATAAAGAGCACAGGCCTGGAGTTCTGGGAGCCTAGGCCTCCTAGGTGGCTCAGTGGTAAAGAATCCGCCTGCCAGTGCAGGAGACGCAGGTTCCAGTCCTGAGTGGGGAAGATCACTTAGAGCAGGAAATGGCAACCCACTGTAGTATTCTTGCCTGGGAAATCCCATGGATAGAGGAGCCTGGCGGGCTACAGTCTATGGGGTCGCAAGAGGGTCAGACACGACTTAGCAACTAAACAACAATTTATCCCAAAGACAGACAAGGTCATGTGTGCACTTTGTCAGCTATGATCAATCCATCAAAAGGTTAACTATGGTCCATGAGTACCATGAAAACCTAGGCTGCCATTAAAATGATGAGAAGTGACCATGTGTAGTAAATAGTGAAAAGACGTAACAGATGTAACATTGGAACAACATATTAGTAATTCTCAACAAGGATCTGCAACAGAATCTGTTGTCCGAGCGTCCTGAGACAAAAATTGTGTGTAAATAGCAATCTACTGTAACAGTGATTTCAGCTTTTTTTTGTCCATGTATCTGTCTATGTTGCTTAGGAGGCAAAAGGAGAAGGTGGTGGCAGAGGATGAGATGGTTAGATAGCCTTACTGACTCAACGGACATGAGTCTAAGCAAACTCCAGGAGATAGTGAAGGACAGGGAATCCTGGTGTGCTGCAGTCCATGGTGTCGCAAAGAGTCAGATACAATTTAGTGACTGACGAACAATTGCTTAGTTTATCTATATGAATGTGTATTAACTTTATAGTGAGACAAAAAAGTAGAGCTGTTTTCATTTGGACAAAAATTTTAAAGTCAAAACTCCCAAGTGAAAACCAAGAAATCTGTTCTCTGTATTTATTATATAAAGACCAGATCTCTTTTGGGGGACTTTCTCATTTTTAAAAAATTTATTTTATTTGAAATATAGCTGATTTACAATGCTGGGTTAATTTCTGCTATACAGCAAGGTGATTGAGGTATACATATAAATACATTCTTTTTCACATTCTTTTCCATTATGGTTTAATCACAGGATATTGAATATAGTGCCCTGTGCTATACAGTAGGACCTTGTTGTTTATCCATTCTTTATACAAATGGCCTCTCTCTTTTATGGTTTTTCTGCTCGGCGTTAGCATTTCTAGATTGAGATTCTATATCTAAGAGAAGAAACAATAATGAAATAAAATATTTGACTATGACTTGATTTCTCCCTAAACAAAAAGACCACATTTGCTTTGTCAATTAATAAGTAGACTATCCTCTATGATCTATACGTAATAAAAGCAAGTAACAATTTGCAATGTAGGCATGTGACTCGTCAGTCTTAGGTGGTGGTGATTTGTGTCCATCTCTTTCCCACATACAGATGTATCAGAACATGGATGGCCGTGTTTCAGAGCGTCCTTCTGTTTACCAAAACAGGCGACCTTACAGCAGAGAGGTGGACTTGGGGCTACCCTCTCCTCAGGCTCACACTGAAGATTCCTAGAGAAACGACTTAGTCTTAAGGACCTCATCCCCCCTGCCTACCTTAAACAGGCTGTGTAGATTACCAAAATAAGATTAATTTCATCACTAAGTGAAAGTATATTCTCAACTGCTGCTTTGCTGGACTTTTCTCTAGAAGCTCTCTGTATTTACTCTTGTTTCCAAAGGGACTTTTGTAAAATCCAGTCATCCTTTGCACAAGGCAAGAAGAGCTGATAACGTTACCGAAGCATCTACCTTCATCCAAAGGCCTTCCCAGGCTGGCTTGAGTGAAAATTGTCTACCTGAAGTATAGTATACTCCTGTAAATACAGAAGACAAAAGCATTTTGCTAAGGAAAAGCTAATATGATTTTTTAAATCTGTTTTAAAATAATATGTAACTTTTTCAGCTATTTAGTGATATATTTTATGAATGGAAATAAAATTTCTACTATAGAAATGTTCATTATTGAGTTGTTTACATGGCAGACTTAGGGTAAGACTTAATGGGAGTCATGAACCTCCTGAAACCCTGTGAGATATGTTACTTGTGCCTGTATGTATTTTTCCTTTGAAGAAGGCTGATTCCTTCATCAAATTTTTGAAAGGCTCCATGACTCCTGCCCCTAGACTGGGTGAAGAACAGTTGATGGTCATGAGCTTTACCAAAAAAGGTGTCATACACTGTAGACTTCCAGAGCCTACTTCCTTTTAGAAACAACACAAAACAACCTTGTGCTGAGATTCACTCATGATGTTACATGGAGCTGTGAATATACAATTACCACTATTTACTCATTTTCACCTGATGACATTTGAAGTTTTTAGGGGTTGGGTGGGGTCATGGCTTCACAGATAATACCATAATTCCTCATGGTATTATCCTTAATAACATAACTTTTGTATGCACCAACTATGATATTGAAAAGGCAATCTTTTCTTAGGGAGGGTGGCATTTATTTTATCTTTTAAACGTATTTTGTTGAAGTATAGTTGATTTACAATTCAGTGTTTCTGCCGTTCAGCAAAGTGTTCAGTTATTTATTTACTTATTCTTTTTCACTGTGGTTTATCACAGTTTCCTGTGTTCTACAGCTGGACCTTGTTTATCCATATTGTCTACGTAATAGCTTGCATCTGCTAATCCCAAACTCCTAATCCAAGGAAGGATGGCATTTCAAAACCTCTTAGGAGAGGGGGTGGGGGAGAGAAGGACTGGGACAAGCGCTTGTGATTAGCAGATGCAAACTAGTATAACAGGATGGATAAGCAACTATGATCCTGCTGCATAGCACAGGGCACTATATTCAACGTCCTGCGATAAACCATAACAGAAAAGAATATGAAAAAGAATATATATGTGTATGACTTTTCACTTCTTGGCTCTACAACAGAAATTAACACAATATTTTAAAACAAGTAGACTTCAATAAAATTTAAAAAAATAAATAACCTCTTAAGGGAAAATGAAATTAGATTCTTTTAAAACCCAGCTCTTAGCACAAAGTCAGTTTTCGTTTGGGTCAAGTTTTGTCCTGGACATGACTACACATTTTAAAAAGTGTCAGAGCACAACTAATGGTCCCCGGAGTTTGGGCCCGGGGTGTGGCTCGCTTTTGGTCAGCCCCCGCCTCCCGACCCCTGTAGGAGTCTTGCCAGTAGGTGGCACCCCGGCACTGCTGTTTTCATCACCGCAGCCTGGCCGCCAGGACTCCAGCCTGCCTCCGAAAGAGCAAATTTTAAGAAGCAGAAATAAAGACAAAGCTAACCCGTTGATTAGAGGGAAGAATAACCCTCTCTGCAGATGACTTCGTTTATTCACCTACTGTGGGAGTGACGGTCCCTTTTATGTGCATTATTTACATCAGTAGCGGAGCAGCCTGGAGTCAGACTCTCTCCTGGGACCTGGAATTTACCACTGGCTTCTGCACCTTGTGTTCATCTGCCCCGGGATGGACTTCTGACCATATTCTTGTAGCACCTGCTCTGCTTCGTGTTGACTGAACCTGGACTGGCTTCCTATCCTGAAAACAAAGGCTCTGTTTCTTAGAGATCTCCAGGAGGAAGAAAAACACCCCGTGGGGCTGGTCTGTAGCAGGAAGATGCCTGGGTGACCTCATTACCACCACCTCAGCCGTCCACCCACCGCTTGTGTTCCTTCCTGATCTTGCTTCTCACTCTTCAGCTCTTCATGAAGGACCACCGGTTCCACAGCATTTGTCCAAACTCACCTGCCATGCCCACTATCCTTTACATCAAAATAAGTGACTTGTCAGAATTAACATTTGTTTTCCCAGATGGCTCAGTGGTAAAGAACCCACCTGTCAAAGCAGGAGACAGAGAAGACAGGGGTTCGATCCCTGGGTCGGGAAGATACACTGGAGGAGGAAATGGCAGCCCACTCCAGTATTTTTGCCTGGAGTGTCCCATGGACAGAGAAGCCTGGCGGGCTATGGCCCCGGAGGTCACAAAGAGGCACACACGTCTTAGCAACTAGACAACAACTGTCTGTACCACCCTCACCCTCAGCAATAGGAAAAAAAAAAAAGGAGGGTCAGTTACCACCTGGAAAAACATATTTTTTTTTAGCTCCTGGAGACCCAACATGTATTAAAATTCCCATTATCTTAAAGAGGCAGGAAAGTCTCTGATGATCTTTTTCTACAGTAAAATATACATAATATAAAATTTACCACTTGAGCCACTTTTTAAACTGATGTATAGTTGATTTACAATGCCTTAGTTTCAGGTGTACAAGAAAGTGATTCAGTTACATACATATGTATATATATATATTCTTTTTTCAATTTATTTTTTATTTTATATTAGGCTACAGTTGATTAGCAATGTTGTATTAATTTGAGGTGTACAGCAAAGTGACTTAGCTACAGATATGTATATATATTCTTCAGATTCTTTTCTATCATAGGTTATTACAAAATATTAAATATAGTTCCCAGTGCTATAAGCAGGTCCTGATTTCTTTATTTTATATGTAGTAGTGTGTATACCTTTCAGCCATTTTTCAGTGTACAGCTGAGTGGTATTAATTACATTCACATTGCTGAGCAACCATTCTCACCATCATTTCCAGAACTTTTTCATCTTCTCAGACCAAAGCTGTCCCCTTTAGACACTGACTCCCTCTTCCCTGTGTCCCTCACCCCCACCCCCAGCCCCTGCCAGCATGTCCTCCTTTCTGCTCTTCTGAATTTGGCTACTCTGGGAACTTTATATAAGTGGCATCATGCAGTATATGTCTTTTCATAACATAATGTTGTCAAGGTTCACTCTGATAAATTTTGTATATGATATTGATTTGTCCATAACACTATTCCAGATCTGTGCTGAAGGCGTCATGTGCATTTCCTCATTTAACAAACTGGGTGGTAGGAGCTTGTTCTGCGACAGTTTAACAGACAGTGTAGCCAGAGCTTAAGCTTAAGAGGGTTAAGTCACTTAGTCAGCTCCACTGAGATACTAACTGCAGACCTGACCCATCCCCCACGCCTGCCGCCTCCTCCCGGCCTCACCTACCACTCTGGGCTCCTTCTGCCAGAGCTTCATGTTGCTTCAACTCAGCCAATGGAAGGAGTCTGGTAAGAGGAGGATCACAGGAGCTCCAACTCCCCAAAATCTCCCTAAGCTCTGCTCAAGAAAACATAAGGGCTATCACTGAAGGGAACAGACGCTTGAAACTGTTCAACTAAAGAAAAATGAAATAAAAATTTGACTGTTTAAGGATTTTCTCCATGGATTGCTAAAACTCTCTTACCTTAAGAGAAAAATTATAATAAAGTCAGATACAGTAATACATTCAGCCCAGGACATAAGAATCATATCTTACAGGTTAAAGGGAAATTATGAAGCTACAGCTCTCTATAAATTAACTTTAGAAAATAACAGCTTTGGAATGTTCCTGATGGTCCAGTGGTTAAGATTTTGCCTGCCAATACAGAGGTTGTGGGTTTAATCCCTGGTTGGGGAGCTAAGATCCTACATGTCTTGAGGCCAAAAAAACCAAATATTAAAACAGAAGAAATACTGTGACAAATTTAATAAAGTGTTTAAAAATGGTCCATATTAAAAAAATCTTGAAAAATAAATCAATAAAGTAAAATTTAAAAAGAAAATAACTGCTTTATCTATATATAGTACCAATACCACACAATTTCCTTACGTATACTGTACAGTTCAGTAACTTAACTTTTTGCTAGGGCGAGAATGGCCTGACCTCTGACCACTTTACATTTCTTCACTTTGACTGGAGGAGTCAGACAGGATTAACTGAGCCCAGGGTCCTTGGGTGGCCTGGCTGGCCAGGTTTCATACTAGGAATTTGGTTGGATTTTTGTGGGTGTTGTGCTCAGTCATGCCCAACTCTTTATGACCCCATGGACTGTAGCCTGCCAGGCTCCTCTGTTCATGGGATTCTCCAGGCGAGAATACTGGAGTGGGTTGCCATGTCCTCCTCCAAGTATCTCGTGTCTCCTACATCTCTCGCATTGGCAGGTGGAGGGTGGTCCGCTGCTTCTGTGTCCAGGACTGTTTAATACCTTAACCTTAAGGCTTCCTATGTTAGTAGGCTGTTTGGAGTTCCATTGTTATACAACAGATAACACTGAATAAAAGGTTAGGCTCCTGGTCTCTGCCCCAAATGCAAGGCCCTTCCCACTGTGCATATCAGCATTTCCATGAGCTAAGAAGTTTCCACTTGCAAATTCAGATGTCTATCTCTCCCACTGCTTCAGAGGAGCTGAGAGCCGCCAGTCTCCAGGCCCAGGCTGCCAGTGCCTGGGGCTTGGTGGGGAGGAAGGACCCTCTGTGTGAAGAATAACGGGAGGAGGAAGGTAGGGGTCATGCGTGGGGAGGAGAACCCTTTCTCCCTTGCCTTCTGCTCTGTCTTCAGTTCCCCACTCCTGTGCTCACTCCTGGGACCAGGAAGGGAATAAGACTTGTGAGGATTGCGGGGTCCGGGGGTGAGGGGGGCTGTTGCTGGACAGACCTCACCCTGCTTTCCTGACAATCAGCTTTGAGGGCGCCCAGGGAGGGAGGTCGGAAAGAAATTCACACTGGCTGTCAGCCTGTCTGCAGGGAGCCTGAGGGGACAGCAAAGGGCTGTGCTGGCTCTGGGGGCAGAAGGGACTGCAGAGGACCTTCTGTGGCTGGTCTCCTGCAGACTTCGTGCGCAGACAACATCGGATCAGCCGACACCTCTGCGGTGCGATGCTAACAGGAGCACTCTGCTCCCTTAACTTGCTTTATCTTTGCAAAAATCCCATCAGGCAAATACTTGTATTATCCCTCACTTCACAGACGAAGAAACTGAGGTTCAGAAGAGTTTAATAACTTGACGAATGCCAGCTAGTAGGGGGCAGAGCGTGGATCCAAGCTCTCCTGGGACCAGGCCCTCCACACTGGGCTGCTTGCCTGAAACTTTATACACGATACAGGA